GTGAGGAGGGGGAAGGTGGGGGAGCGGGGGGCAGGAAGAAGGGTAGGAAGAGTCAGGTTGCGGTGAAGGAAGGGAAGGTGGAGAAGGGGGGAGGCGGGAGAGGGAGGTGGTTGACGTATGGGCAGTGGATAAATCCTGAGGGAGGAGGAGGAGGCGGGGAGGGGGAGATTGTTAGGGCGGCGAATCGGGTTTTCTATCCTCCGATGCAGAGGGTTGCGGATGATGGCTGAACTTCATTCCCGAACAAGACACAATGCAAGAAGATATACTAGGAATGCTCACATGCAGATGCTTGAAAGGAAGGCATTCTATTGTTTCCGTCTAGCGGATGAAGAATCGTGTAACGACAGTAATTTTGTTGTAGAGAAGTAGGCGACGGCCGTCTCTGCGAAGCTTGCAGGGTTTTCCGTGTCCGATCGACGACACTATTCAACGACGACGACGGATCGGGCGGACGACATCTTGGGCATTTTCGGTGATCACCCTTTGCTCTGCAGCGGTGGAAGGGGGTTTTTTCCAGCCGGTCATTTTGGCTTTGGCTGTGGTGGACGCCTGCTTGACTTTTTGGACAGCGTTGTTCAGAATGTCGGTCCATGTTCTGGCGACAGGCGACGGCTGGCTGCTGTCCGACACGGCGGCTGCAGCGCGGGAGGCATCCGCGTCGGCTTCGGGACGTGCCTGCGTCCATCGTCCCTTGGCTTTGGTCCACGCATCAGCGAGTGTTTGTCTCCATGCGTTAGAGCGGCGATTCGCTTGCTGTTGTGCCTCTTGCCCAGCTCGGTCTGTTCCAGTATCGACACGCTGCCCTCGGCTCCTATACCATTCCTTCACCTTCGTCGGCGCATTCTGCACGTTTTGTCGCCAACCGTTCACTTTGTTCAACCATTCGTTCGTCGTCTGATCCCACTTCGCCGGCCAACGATCGCGTATGTCGACCGTCCTCCATTCACCATTCTCGGCTTCCCTCATTCTTCTGAGCGCCCGAAGCGACCTCGTCCTTTCATCCAAACCTTCGTCCCTCCAATGCTTTGGTAGAGGAAGTGCCCTGTCCTTCGGTACAATGTAAGCATGGAACTGTTCAGCGGGAGCCAATGAAGTCTGGCGGCCAGGCGCGAGCAGTGGACCATTGTAGGCGACTCGCACTTGATCCTGTGGTCTGTCTGGATCGTAGAATATGTGGACTTGGCCCAGCTCCTGTGCGATTCGTCTCGCTTCCGATGGAATGACTTTACCGATCCCAATCTCTTCTCGACCGTACAAAGCTGCCACTCCGCCTGTCGTGTGATAGTTGGCCAGGCGTCGATCCTTTCCAATCGCAATGATGTTTTTGAGATCGTTGAAGTGAGTTCGAAGCTTCCAATGCGCGTCGGAGAATTTGGTCCCGATCGAGGGCGTGCCCTCTTGTGGAGCATGGACTATCTGTTCCTCCTCGTACGATGGCGGTTTCCGTTGATGATCCTCCGCTTCTAGCCGCCGAATTCGAGAGAGGAAAGGAGGCATATATGGTACCCGCTCGTAGCGAATTGCATAGGGCTCGTTGTAGTATCGATACACTCGACTTCCTCCTGGCGCTACCGGATCGGGCGTCGTGACGAGCTGATAGTAATTGCGAGATTGTGGGAGCGCCTTGATGGCATCTTTGATGTGCTGATTCTCAGGGCTCGTCAGATAAATATCTTCCCCACCGTTTGGAAGATTTTTTGCGACCAGTGCTGCAGGGAGATCTCGTGCAGCTCGATCGTCACGAGCAGCACGGAAATCGTTGTCGGAGGCAGCGGCGTTCGCGGATCTAGTAGAAGCCTCGCCAATCTCCGTCGTCGACAGTGCTGGGGCACCTGCATCGTCCATGATGTTCTTGCCCTTGTGCTCAACTCTGAGTCTGTCTTGAGCGATTGCCGACCCTTGAGCTTCTTCGTCGCTGGACGAGCCGCGATCCTCCGAGGTGGTAGAAGACGAAGGGAGTTGCCATAGACGGTCGAAGCGCTCAAAGCCCCTCGGACTGCGTGGAGAGCTCGCAGCGGAGTCGGCAGCATCGTGCCAGTCAGGTGGCCCCGTAGCAGATCTGAAGCTGCCATCTGAGTCCGAGTCGCTGGGATCACCGATCGACGACCCCGTGGCAGATCTGAAGCTCCCATCTGAGCTCGAGTCGCTCGAAGTACCGGTGCCGGCGGCCGGTGAGGACACACTTGCTGAGCTTATTCCAGGATAAGCACTCGCGCCGGTTCCAACAGGTACGCAAAGGACGCTCAGACTGGCTACCAGCAGACAAAGTATTAAGACTGGCGGCAACAGAGATTTGATACGCCTGCGCCGGCGAAAGGCAGAAGATAGCATGGCGGAAGCTGGGGTGCGCTTGAGACGCCGAGAGGTTGTGATGCTGTGAGCTGCTGAATGCACTCGTTCGCAGATTGGGGATGCTAGGAAAGAGTGAGCTCTGCGAGGGGTCCTTTGTACCTGAACGGTCACAGTACGTTTACTTCTTTCTTCGGATAAAGGGTTGCAGATGACTATACAGCCCATGGATACGTGATGAAACGAATGCGGATGGCACAGAATCGCTGCTACAGTACGTGTTTTGATTCAATCCCTCTGCGTTCAAGGGATGGGCGTAAGGCGTGGGTTCAGTGGGCTAATGAGTACGAGTCATTTCGGCTCGAGGTGGAAGCGCAGGACACAAAGGGATCAAGCGGCGTCACCACCCCGTCGCAAGCACGAGTTTGACATTGAGGCTCCACAGGTTTACTGCCTAGAGAGCTTTGCAGGAACGAAATCCCACTCGAGCTCATTCGGGACCACTGTCAGCGATACGCGTGGAAGTGCAAGCGATTCTGAAGTCAGGTGGGCCGATCTGGGTCAGTCATTCTCACGCGCTTGAACAATAGTATCAATGGCTTCTTGCCGTCTGAACTGATCATCTTCGCGACGGGTCTCGAAGCCGTTTGAACAAGTGGCAATGCAAGTCTACGACTGAATCGATGGTGCTTCTCGATATGCTGATACAGCAGTGCAGCCAACATTGTCTGGGCCAGTGCTCGTCGAGATAAGGCGGTCGTCAACATTGCGAGCAATGTGGCGGTTCGACGACCAAGACAACTCAGACGAGGCAAGAAAGTAAGGGGTACGATGAATCGTAATATTTGATTCGTGATAATTCAGTGGAGGGTTTCAGAAGGACAGGTTGAGCTCGAGAAAGGAGCCTGTACTGCAGCGATACGGGCCGGCCATACCGCGCTTCAAGGACCTCTTAAGTACCTAATACCATTCGTCATCTTGGGAGTCAGTCCTCCGAGCCATCCTTTAGCCTCCTCACTGATCCTAGACCACCACGATGTGCTGCTCCTAGCCTTAGCTGCGGCTACGTTGGCAGCCTCTGTTCCAGGCAGCTTGAGCCTATCGAAAGGAACCTTCTCGTTCTGACCTGCGTGCGTCGTGTCCCACACGATACCTCTTTGATTGCCGTCGAGCCTCTTGAAAGTGCCATCACTCTTGACGAACCAAGCTTCGCCGTTGCTTCCAGCGATAAAGAATGGCCAAGCCCTCTGCCTCATTGCGGCAACGACGTGACCGTCCCAAGCATTACCAGGAAGCTTGACCCCTAGCCAAGAACGTCCTATGGGTGTGACAGCGACGTCTGGCTTCAAGTCGGATACACTGCGTGTCGGTCCGTTGCGAATAACTTGTTGAAGCTGGCTGTCGGAGGAGATCGATCCTGCTGCTGGATCTCGGTTGTTAAACCAGGGAATGTTCCAATTGCGCCACCAGGGTGCATCATTGTGGACGCTTCTGATCCGAGATTGAACAGCAGATGGGTCCACTTCATCCTCAGGCATGTGGATGATGGGTTGAGGTGTGAGGACGTTAGGATTGAAAGGGGGCGATCTCACGTCTGAGAGCGATCTGTCCTCGTCGATCGTCTGCAGCGGATTGTTGATTGGTGGAGCGACAGTGAGCGTAAGGAGCGAAGCAATGATGGCCAGGTAGAAGAACACGGCAGCCTTCTCGCGATTGAAAGATATCATGGTCGAAGTCAAAGAGTGGAAGCGGTTGATCGTCAAGGTCAACAATTGAAGTGATTCGAAGACAGAGGTCAAGTGGCGAGTACGATGCTGTTTGAGGTGTGGAAAGGGTGTGTACTGTACTAGTGGCCGCAGCAGAAAGAGGTGAGGGTAAAAGAGTATGTTGAGGAAGGGAGTCGGGCCTATTTCAAGTTTGATGAAGCAACCGAGAGGTTAGCAAAATCACAACTAGGAGACTCAAGGTCATGCTTTACCCACAAACGCCATTGAACCAGCACATCGTTGTCTGTCGGGGCGCTCGACGATGGGTTACAGCCCACCTGAGAAAAGTAAAACGAGTACGCGGCACGCTGTTCTCGGTATGTCCCTGTGTAAGGGTTCCCTTTCGAACTGCTTCCTCATCCCTGCGTGGTAGTTTGGTGGAATAATCGATCATCCGAGAGCCATCAAGTGGATGAATTGACATGTCCAATCGGTACAGCGCCGATACACACTGGCACGCACAAATAAGAATTGACCAGCTCACCAGATGGTGTGGATCGTCTTTCCAGCCTGAAGCAACCAGGAACAGTAGTATCTTGATTGAAATGAAGCACTGATGCGGAGCTGCAAAGAATGGTGTACAGACAAAAGCGGTGGGTGTCAAAGAGGGACAGCAACTTCATATCCGCCTCAAGGCTGGAGGAGAGGGACGTGGACCCCAGACTTGCCTTCATCGAGACTGCTGCATTTCGTTGCTACCAGGTCTTCTTACGTCCAGTGCCGAGACCTACTGAGAAAGTTTTTGAATCCAGTTGGGAACTTCCGTAGCCACCAATTGCCGATCCTCGCCTGCCTTGTAGCGCCCTGTGTCGCAATAACCGAGGCAATGGCCCTGTCATTCACACCTCCCTGTCCTGCTCCGGAAGCTTGAACTGTGCGACCGAGATGCTCGGACCAAAATGCTCGGAGGAAACGCTTGTCTGAGCCTTCTATCTTGTCCGTAAACGTGAAGACCCCGCCGTCCTTCGTGTCAAAGTACCACAATTTCTGCCCAGCTCCCTGCACAAAGAAAGACCGTCCCGCTCCTTGCAGCAACTCGATCGTCCTAGCATCCAGCCCGTGACCACGGAGCTGTACGATGTGATACTTTGTCCCGATTGTGGAAGTGTCTGGGATGTTGTCTTGGACGAAAGCGGATTTGATCTCTTCATTCTCCTCCATCAATTCAAGCATTTCACGATTCGAGGAAGGAGTTGAGTCGCCATCGTTCCTTCGAGGACTCCATCCGAAGCCTCTTCTCGAGCTGCTTCTAGTGGATCCAACTGAGCTCTGGAATATCTCGATGGGCGCCGGGAGGTGATAGGGAACGAGCCTGCCTTGCTGTCAGCGAACAAGTCCTGAGACCGGCACTCTTTGTAGTATAGAGTAACGAAATTGAGGGCGTGGTGCATAGAGGTCTGCGTCTATCGGACCGCTGATCTGAGGAGTATGAGACTGTGCGGCATCTCCAGACCACAGGGGTCCTGCTGAATTGTCCGGCAAGGTGACTCTTTCGTCGATCGGCGGGAGCGGCTTTGGCCTGACTGCGATTACGTACGATACGAGTGTGAACAAGAGTGCTGCGAGCTTTAAGCACCACATCACCTTACGTGTGCGGAACAGGCGAGTCATTTCTTGCTGACTTCGATTTTCGAATAGATTCCGAGGCGTCTGGTCCGATGAGGCCAGCAGATTATGGAAAAGTTCGGCGAGCAAAGAGACCATATGACGTTCCGAGCTTGTAAGAGCACAAGATTGGCCGCGGCGCATTTGTAGCTTCGGGGAGTGAGGAAGCTGCATCGTACAGGCGCAGAGACATCCACACTCTCAGCCGATGCTGTTCCTCCATATGGCCTGGCAGTGAGAGGACAATCAGAACAAGCTCAAACTTTCGAAAATTGAACGATAGCCGTCACCTTGGCGCGTACCCGAGTCAGGTCTCGACCAGCCAACCATACCGACTTCGGTATGAGTCAAGCTCACTAAAGGCTCTGGCGATGTCCGACCACCATTATCTTCGAGCCTCGAACGACTTCGTATTCACTTGGCGGGAAGCATGTCTGCGAGCTCGCTTCATCGGACTGGCTTTGACGCTGGATACGGCTGTCAGCGATGTATGTCGACACTGCCTGATCTTTCATCTTTCTATGACAGCTCGCAAAGCATGTGAACAGCGCATGGGATGGAGCTTGCGCAGTCGCAGACAGTCTATGCCAATCACATTTTCTCTCGCTGCTGACCCTTTATGCCACAGATGTCAATGGAGGACCGCAAGAGCTTGTGTTCGATCGACTAAGGCGAGTAACACGGCGTGATTGAGGGAGCTGGCAACTGTATTGACAAGTACGAGCTGAGCGCCGCCAGTGATAATTCGGTCAGGGAGCACGTCCAAGCCTCACATTATCGACGATTAATTTCGCTTTCGCCTCAATGCTCTGAGCAGCTTCGTGCCCAAGGCTTTCCCGAACAATCACATCATTTCCTCCTTTCAGATCACCATTGTAGGTGAAATGAACGATGTCTCCGTCCTTCTTCGCATCAAAAAACCAAACTCGACCGCCGCTGTCGACTACAAAAAACGGCTTACGTCTACGCGTCAATATCGTCAGCACTTGACTTCCCAGACCTTGATCTTGTGGTAACTGAACAGCATGAACGCCAGCGACCCTTTTTGGATCCTTTGTGAGCTCGACAACCGATTTGTGGAATTCAGTGTCAGTGGGCCGGTTTTTGATCATTCTCTCCATTGCTAGATCCGAACCTCTTTTCGCTTGATCGGCTCTGGAGAAAGAAAGACTGTGCTTGAGCTTGGGGACTTGCTTGGCCAGCCACGTACGAGTGCCGGGCTCTCTGATAGCAAGGACCCTAGGGAGGTAGGAACCAACGTCAAAGTCGTCCGTTGACGAGCTACCAACGGATTTGGAAAGCCGCTCGTATGACCGCGTTTGGGGAATGCCTACTCGTCCATCCTGATCGGGCGAGTTCATGGGTACGGGCAGCGCGAAAACAGGCGCGAGCGCCGAAAGCAGTACCATCATCTGGGCGAGGAGCATCTTGGTGGAGTGGGTAAAGAACAATGATGTGAAGATTGGCGAATGTGAGAGGGGTCAGGAGAGCGAAAGAGCTTGACAGCACGTAAAAAGGGGATATGCCTTTGAAGGTGGGAAGGACATGAGCTCGAATCGGCGGCCTTTTGTTCCAGTGCCAGAATCGAGGCTCGACGTCCGTATGAATGCGATCTCGATGACCCTCGACGAAGCGACACGGATGCAAGCCTCAATTTGACTCGACAGCAGAGGAGATGAGAGTGGGTTTCCTAGCGATAACCGCAGCCATCGGGCACAACTTCATTTGTGACAACTTTGTACCGCAGACAGGTACTCGCAGGCTTATGCGAGTCTAACACGAAGCAAGAGCCATGATCCGGAAGCCGTTCATAAGACTCCTAAGTCTCCACCTCCTCAACACTTGCACAGTCAGCCGAAGGTCGCCGCTCTGATCAGCTCGGAAACAGAGTCGCTCTTGCTCAGTTTGTTTACGCAAGATGGATTTTTTAATGAATGTCAACAGGAATCTATTTGCATGGCGCGAAGAAGGGTTGTTTGAGGGCAAGACCATTAACCGTAGGGCAAAGGCTCGAACAATGTTTGCGTCATTGACCTCCCGCTCTTCTGTCTTTGTATCTGAATTTTCGTAGCTTTAGCGTGGCAGATCAATGTAGTATTCGTCTCGTTGCATCGGCGAGAGTGTGTTCAATGCGGCCATCAGGTAAAGCTCTTACGCCGAACGAATACGAACCATACGAATCCAAGAACCGCAAGTAGCGATAGTCGTCCAGCTTCCCTCTCAGGGTGGGCACGTCCCATTCGGAGCTGACTGGCTCAGATCGATGGACTCTTGTCCATTCCGGAGCTTCAAGCTGCCGGGGAAAACCAAGTCCTCCTCCGGGACGAACTGAACCGACGGGATAACCGTGTGCGAGTTTGACCACGTTCTGGCCAAATACACCCTCTGCCCAGTCGGATCGTCTCACCATAAGACTGAGCGACCGGCTGACCTCGTCCCAGTTGTATGGCCAGATCAATTCGTCGTTCTCTACACGAGGCGTGAGGGTGTAAACATGTCCTTGGCCTTTGACACGAGCGTGAAATCCGCCGAAGTCCGCGACAGCTTGACGGAGTGTCGCAGCCGGCAATCTCGAGTCTTGTCTCTTGAAAGTGAAAAGAGGCTTCTCGTCGTAGAACATCTTGTCATCATGAGCTGTGGGTCGATACGAAGACTCGGTTGGAAGGTGATCGTCAATGCCTCGAAATTTTCCATCCGAGAGCTGTTGGAAAGACACGCGATCGCGGTTCGCACCAAGTTCAGGAGGGACCATGCGTTTCTCGAAAGTATTAGATTTGGTTTCAGCGGCAGCTGGGGCGAAGTTTGCGAGGGCGATGAAGAAGACAGAGGACAACATCATGCAAGCAGTGCGCATCTTGCCTGGTCGTGATTGCAACTGAGCGTACAAAGATGGTAGAGATGTGATGGGATACAAATCACTCCTAGCAAAGCTCAAATTCCAAGAATGCATCGTCCTGACGGGAAGGTGAGAGCCTCCTCCTTTACCGGCAATGACCAACGCCGTCACCTGACGCGTTTGGCTTCCGGCACTCTTGACACTCTGGGAACAGCTCAGATAGAAGCTCATAGCATCCCCGCAGAACGAAGCTAAGACTTTTCACACGGGGAGGCGGGGCAATCTGGAGCGTGCGAATGGATCTTTCGGGAAAGCCAGACAACATGAAAGCAGTGGGTGAATTTGACGTTGCATGGAGGTAGAAGCTCACGTGCTCCAGCACACATCGGTTTCGGAAAGGACGTATGGCAGCGGATTCACCAATTCAACGAGGGCGCAATCGAGTCGAGCTGACCAGAATTCTTTCAACTCGTCAATGAAGCGCACTGTAGAACGGACTCTCTGACACGAGCCACTTGATATGCTGCCGGCCATCGTGCAACAGGCGAATTCCCAGTACGCCGGTCTCATCCGTGGTAGTGAAGGTGATGAAGCGTTGCCGACTCAGCAGCTGCCTAGCGGAGCGTAGGTCGGTGGCTCTGTCCCTGGGTATTGCACTCCACACCTTCTCCCAGTCCGGCGGAGAGGGTCTCACCTTGAACCAACCGACCTTCCTGTAGGGAGCAGGATCCAGCTTGTAGCCGTAGGCGAGTAGTGTTGCGGTATCTCCAAAGCTAACACGAGCGCCGAGTACGTCATGAGCGAATTCGGTTACATCCTTCGAGGCCTCGCTTGTGACAGGATGCCCCTGTGCATCTTTGGCAACCTTGAGGGTCGGATTCCCGGTCAGAGAGGGACCGGCAATGTAGATCTTTCCAAAGTCTGCGAAGCCTCGCTGCATCCTTTGTAGGTTGTATCCTTCGCGTTCTACAAAGTACACCGGAAAACCCTCGTAGAAGATTCTATATCTATAGAGCTCTCTTCTGACGTAGTCTTCTGGTACGGGCGTCATTTTGACGTCGGGCTCGAAGCCACCGCCCGCCAGCTGTTCGTACGACACGAATGAATCTTTGGAACGCAGGGAGGGTTCAGCTGCTTCCTCGACAGCTTCTTGTGGCTGATTGAAAGGAGGAGGCGCCAAGACGAATCCGAGACAGATCCAAACCACGGTGAGGAGGCTCGATTGCAACTTGTTCATCATGAAGCAAGTCCCCTGGGTACATTTGAGGCTTCCCGGGCAGAATCGTGAACGACTGTCTTGTGACCCCTATTGGGCGTTCATCAAGTCGCTTTTATTTGCTAGGCCCCGGTGGAGAGGTACGCAGTGATCCACATTTATCGGCCTCGACTAAGCCGGACGCAGAGTGGCTAAGAGAGACTCATATCTGGAAAGGAGGTGGCGTTCGATCCTGTCGGCCTATTCTAACCGTTTTCCTTCTTCCGAGCCATTGAGCGGCGGAGCATATTGCCGCGTTGTTCCGTGTGATCTTGTGGGATAACAGAAGCGGCCTTCGAGCAGGCATTGTTTGGAAAGGCAATGCGCAACAGGGTTCATCTCGGTCAGGCATCCTTAAGCCTACTGTGCCTCATGACCTCGGCCGCTACGGAGGAGGTCGATATCGCCCTGTGGGGACGAGCAGCGTACAAGAGAGTGAGGAGAGGGACAAGGTTGACCGAATCTCGTATCACACAGATCATCAGAGTTATTTTGGCTGTGCCGTGCTTGACCTCTTCCCCTCCTCGCCCTTTCACCTCCAAGCTCTCGGTCTTCCCCGAGGCACCCTTCCCCTGTCCACTCTTACCCCACCATAGTCCTCTGGAAACGTCCCTACGGCTATTTGGGAGTCTCATCGATCCCGGAACACTGATAGATCCGGAACGTTGATAGATCTTGTCCGAGATCTACCAATCCTTCCTTTTCATGTGATCAAGGAGCGACGCTCAGTACTCCGAAGGCATGAAACACAAGCTTCAGATCACCATGGAAGTCTTTGTCGTCTTGACGCTCTGAAACGTATGTGTTTGTGTTGGGGCATCGCTACGATGATGTAGCGGAGGCAAGAAGTGAAAACACTGACATTGAAATTCATGGTCAACTGAGAAAAACGTTGACAAACATTCGACACCTAGACATGCAGAGATAGTCTTCAGAAGAAGTCGAGCAGCTCGGGATCCATGTCGCCAAGAAGTCCGTTGTGGAGCGTCCCATCAACGTCGAAGCGCAACACGAAGGATGAGAGGCCATCTTGACTACTGATTTTGACGAATTTGTCCCGCTTCAATATATCCCTGAGTTGGCCGGAGTTCAGGCCGTGGTTGAAGGGCAATGGAGCCGCATTTCTAATGTCTCTCCACAACACCAGCTCAGGATATCTGCGCTCCCGATCAGGTACATCTGACGGCCTTCTAAGTATGACCGGTCCGAACGCAACGTGGGCGATGCTCCTGCCATAGAGTCGCTCAATGGCTTGCACTTTTTCAACGTACTTTTCCAGACCCTCGTCGTGTGTATATCGCCCTAAAGCATCCGCAGGGCGCCGGGTGTCCGGGAGTATGGTAAGGAACCTAGGTCCATCGGTATCGACGACGTGAATCTTGCCCCACAAGCTGTAAGCTTCGTGCAGCTTGTCCCTGTTGAGAAGGTTGGCCGAGTCGGTAAAGAATACGGGACGCTGTTGAAAAAAGTAGGTTTCGGGATACATTTCTTCTGCGTCCACCGTCAAAGGAGGTGACGGGAAGGGTCGATGTCTGAAGAACCCGACGTGAAGATCGTCGAAAGGAAGTTGATCACCACGACCGTTCATTCTTTTTTCCAGGGGACTGGCGAGCACGCCGGCGTCCATTCCGCAGAGGAACAGAAGCCAGACGCAGGCGCTTATCGTCATCGAAACTTGTATCATCCTCACACAGGTCGTTCGCGATTACACTGTCCTTCAGTGCAGAGAGTTGGTAGTTAGGTACAAGAGAAGGCAGTCTCAGGCATCAGGCGGGAAGTTTTAAAACGGCAATTTGAACCCACACCAACACTCGACAGAACCGAGATGAAACTGGACAAAAGTCTTTGCAAAAGAGGTCCAGATAGAGCAATGTCCCGTCCCGCCAGTTGATCCTTGCTGACTTCATCAAGCTTTGCAGCTGCGAGCAACCATTGCCGCATCTCACAGATGCGGAATACCTTCGTTCAAGGCCTGCTCGAAATGATCAGCTACACCCTGCCGATCGATCCTGATTCCCAACACATGCGTCCCGTCCAGACTCAAGAACTTTCCCATCCTGTACCTATCTAAATGATCTCTCACCGATCTTCCATCCCCATCAAACACCGGAACGAATTGGGAGCTGATGATCTCCGGCCACATGCTGCTTCCTTCTCTTGCCTCTTCCGCCTCTTCGGATGGCGTGAAAAGCTTTTGGAATCGAGCCCACGCCACTTCAGAGCCATACCTGCGTCGAATGCGTTCTATCTCAACGATCCTCTCGTTGAGACCAACGATTCTTGAACCGGGAGAGATGAGAATTCCAGGTGGTCGATCTGGTCTTCGCATAAGGAGGATCATAGAGTCATATGTATAGGGATTGGCGGGGGTGGGGGAACGTCTATAGATGTGAAGATGCTTGTAGCGGTGCATCAGAGCGTTCAGAGATCGGAAAGGACGCGGGTGAGTGAGCTCGATGATGGGCGCCCAATCGTGTCGGGGCTGGTCGGAAAAGAGGAGTGTGTAAGGATCGTTTTGGCCCTCAAGGATCTGCTGGAGCGTCGTTTGGGATACGGAAATTGGTTGGAAACGACCTTGCATGATGTCATCGAAGGAGACTGGTGAGAGGTCATAGGGGGAAGTCGGGGAGTTCGGGTCGAGTTGAGATGACGTAGCCATCGTGGACGCCTGTGGCTGTTCATATTTGCGCTTTCCATCGGTTGGAACTCCTTCTACGCAAGAGAGGGAGACGATCGAGCTGAGTAGGAGCAAGACTGTGGTCATCAAAGAGAAGAGTGGACTCATGTCGGCATGTGAGGATGCTTGTCGGAAAGCGTTGTCTGATCGGACGCTGTCACCTCTCCTTGTTCCAGATCACGTCTTTATATCAGACACAGTTTCCATTCGGTTGATCTCACGGCCCAACCGCAGCTCATACGGCTCATCTCAGGAACAGTCCTCGAGCGATCAGAACGCAAACTCGGTCGAAAGCGAGAGACCGGGCAGTTGAACGCTAATCGGCGCACTGGTTTGACCTACCCTTGTCACGCGTTTGCAGCCGGGCGACGTCACAATCTGAAGCTTCAACGCCCTGGACAACGGAGCCGTTGGAGCCTTTGACGCTATCAACCTTCATCTGGATACATTCAACCGTAATGATGTATCGACTTCCGATCATTCCGGGAGACACTCCGACGCTGCATTCCGAGTCTCGCTGGTGCACACAATGGAGCTGGCTCGAGGGCTTCGGCGAAAATATCTTCAGCATTTCTTCTTTGTTGCAAGTCTCACCCCGCTGACAAAGACCCTCAAGACGGCAGCCGTACCTTCTTCATCAATGACATCGCTTTCTCTGCAAGCCTCTCTCCTCTTGTCAAAGCTTCGATCCTCAATTCCCTCCTCGGTGAGCCTCCCGGTGGTCTTACCAACGTCAACTTTACTCTATAGGCAATGTCCGGCTGGCCTGGCTGATCAAGGTAAAGACGGAATCGTCCATGATCGTGCAACGCGCTTATCATTTGATCTCTCGTTGCAGTACTAGACCTGAACCTTTGATATTGTCCGAGTGAAGGGGGCGTGCTTCGGAAATGCGTCAATTCCGGGATGCGGTCTAGAGAGCGACCCCATTTGAGCGATGCGAGTGCTCTACCGTAGGCCTGCGTGTCGGAATGATAGGCGTTGCGGACTCGATTGATCTCGACGGTAATTTCGGCGCTGGGGAAGCTGGCGAGATCGTCGGTTCGAGGGTTGATGACCATGAATGTGTTTCGAGGCTGTGGAAGCAAAAACGCTCTGCGATCTTGATTCGATGCCGCTATCATATGAGCAACCGAGTCGTGATTCGGAAGTAAGATGGGTAGACCTTTGGCATGCGGTACCTCATCGACGTTATCCATGGCAATGGGCCGGAAGGATTGGCCGAAGACCGCTTTTTTGACCTCGTGAATCTTGCCGGGCAGTCGAAAGACGGTGAGAACCTTGTGCAAGTCGGGAAACGTTTGCTGCGAGAGATGGCCTTCATCGCGGTAGATCTGCATCGCCTCACCCCGGACGGAGTCGAAGATTCCGACGGTGCCATAGTCTCTCAAGGCTTGTTCGACGACCGAAGGTGGTGTTCCGACTGAGAACAATGGGATGCGACCATAGAAGGGCAGATGCGGATCAAGGTGCGCATCCTGATCGCGAGCGAAAGTTGAGAGCAGTTTTGAGACCCTGTCGAAGCTGAGATAATTGATGTACTCGTACGCCATCGGCATCCGTCGCCACTGAGTAAATCGCGAGGTCGAGTCGAGGATCTCCTGCAGAGTAGGCGCACTTGGCTCTCCCGCTTCTTGCACCCCTGGTGATGCCGCACCGCTTTCTTCGCCGGCAGCTTTGCAGCACTGCGAGAAAACCAGCACAGCCGCGGACAGCCACAACAAAGTAATACGAAGGAGCCGCATCGTCAACAAAGCGGAAGCGCGCAGGCGTCCTCTTGGTCTAGGATCTGACAGGGTCGAGATGATGAAAGAAAATCTCACAAGTGTTTGACGGCGACTATTTGACGGAATGAGCTCGTCTACTCATCGAGCCTGCGCAATTGCGAATGAGCACCGCCGGTGATGTACAGTACTGTAGCTTCTCAGCATCGAGCCGCCCTCCCTAAGGCTGCGGTTCCGTAGACATGCAAGACCTGTGGTACCACCAAGCAGATGCTGTCCAATGGCAACTAACGCATCAAATTATGATGTGACCACAAACTGTACAGTAAGTAGTTACCCCTATTGCTCAACGCACTTCCTTGACCCGCAGAGTGTATCGCCCACTTCGCGCTCGTGATAGTCAACCTAGCTTCGCGAATCCCCTTGCGTCGCGCACTGAGCCTTCTGACGGTGTGCACGAAGACGCGCGCTCATATCTTCCATCCTTTCACATACTAGTCTTTCTTAGCGAGAGCTTGAGCGAAGTCACAGTCTCAACTCCAGCAGCCCTTGCCATCGGTGCATGCGGTCGCTTTCGAGTTCCATTACCGCAACGTGGGCGCAAATCGTATTGTACTCCCTGCCCACCAATGACATGTGAAACTATGCCCACTTGCTTTGTGGTATCCGCAAAATGTCCTAAGGTTCGGGGTTTGAGGTCGTGTTCTGACTCATTATTCCCTCCAGCGAAATCGACATCGATCAGACGCAACATGCTTCGCCCTGAAAACCAGAGATGAACCTCATCACACAGGCTCGCATTGCCGACCACGAAAGGCTGCGGTGGGAAGCCGTGAAGCACCCACATTCAGGTCCCATCTTGGCCCGAAGGAGCCAATGAAGCTTTCATCGGTGGTTCAATGAACTGCCACAGATCTTCTTACAGCATCGGTGGAGGGTTGAACTGCGATTGGATGAGGGCGAGCAATCGACCATCGCCATCCACCAATGGCTCCGGACTGCGACCGACAAACCTACGCGTGGCACTCTATACTAACATCCGCAGGCGTACTGCGCGCAGCTTCTTGAGCAAGCCCTCTTGAGCGATCTCGCTCCCCGACAACTTCTCGATAGCGATGTCTATAGGTACGCCTGGAGGAGCTCGGTGGTTCAAAAGTTTGACTTTGATCGGACCGTCGCTGGCTGCATGGTTGTCGTAGTAGCGGAAACGTCCGCGCTGTTGCAGTGCTTGTATCATCTGCTCGCGCGTTGCTCTTGTATCGAATCGAGGATATTGCAGCAGCGGAACGGGCTTCGATCGACTGTACATGTGACGTTCGTCAAGTGGGATCGGACGTCCATATCTGAGAGAAGCGATGACCGGATTGTACTGCTGCGTCAGGGCGCCATAGAGAGTCAAGACAGTATTGACCTGGAGGTCTTCGGTCTTCGTACCGGCCCGAGCAATCAGTGCTGTGCGCGGCATGACAAGCACTGGATCGTGACCTTCGCGAACATGCCAGAATCTGAACAAGCCAGTGTTGGCCGCGGAGAACATGTGACCGAGCGAATCGTGTCCATAGGTCAGGACAGGGATGTTCCCAACATGCGGCAGGTGATCAATCTCGACCCGTCCAGGCATCTTTGGCTCGGCAATCGGGCCGACACCCACCGGAAAGTACTTTCGGTGAAGCGTGTGCACATTCAGATCGAGGCTGTGGAGAAAAAGCGCCCCCTTGTCATCGTCAAAGGCCACTTTGGAGAGGCGAAAAGCCTGGTAATTGACTTGTGAAACTTGCTTTGTAGCGTCATCTATGATAAGCACGCTTCGATAGTCCTTGAGAGCCTGTTCCACGACGTTACTTGGCGATTTGAGGTCGAAGATGGGCAATCTACCGTAGAAGGGGATGCTGTGATACGGGTTGGGATCAGCATGCTCGGGGAGGCCGGAATGCAGTTGTTCAATCCGTTCGGGGCTGAGCTTCTTGATATACTCGTCTACGGTGGGAGGCCGAGGGATCGTCACTAACGACCCAGGGGGAACAGGCGGCTTCCACCTTGGACTGACTTCTTCAATCTCGTGATCACCAGCCGATGTGCTCGGATTGACTTCTTCAATCTCGTGGGTCGAGGCTGAGGTGCCACCAATGTAAGCAAGAGCAGCCGTAAGCAGCACAAAGGATCTGCACGCAAGCATGTCGAGCAGATTTGGGAAGATAGTGAGAGAGAAGAGATGGTAAAGGCCAATCGGATTGAATCGTTCCGAGGAGCGACGCAGAAGATCAGCATCAACGAGAGCGGGTGCGTTCACTTGCGGTGTTGGACGATCATAAGCTAGACCGTTTCCAGGGCGGGCAGAGTGGCTGCAAGGCAAGCCTGCTCGCTTGCACCGAGGCTATCGATCAAAAGCGGACGCTGCCGGGACTTCATTTCGAGCACGCACGACGAACCAGCGAAGGTGGAGTCCGACTCTGTGCCAGTTCTATTGTTCGCAACCAGGTAGACGACTCTTCTTTGCTGTATTGAGCTCGCAGAAGAACGAGCAGCAGGGTGCTCGGGGTCGAAAAAGGGCAGGCAACGCATGGCCCAGTAATTGATCGTGGAAAGACTTGGGGCAGGCTTCGAAGAATCGTGCTCGGAAAGCTTGTCTTTCTCGTCGTTGGGTAGCAGCCAGGCCATCGGCATGATCAGCAGATCGATTTCCTTCTCGACGCAAAATGACGCGAGCTCGCAACTCTCGAAGGCCGTGCGAAACCTGAATGGATTCAGGTCCATGCAGATGGCGACGCAGACGTTGCCGAGCCCCGGCAAGTTGATAGCCTCGAACCCACTTCCTTCAGATGCCCACACCTCATCTGTTTCGAAAAGGAAATGCTTTCGAAAGATGTGTTTGATTGAGCCGTCGGGAGTCAGAAGGGCGGCTGAGTTGAAGGCGCAGTCCTGGCCATCGCTGTCCGCACCCGATTCGATCCTGGCCTCTGAGCTTTGAACGTCTTCTGGCCTGGCATCAAAGGGTGGGTCAATTGGTCCCGTAGTCACTCCTGCAAAATCTCGAGAAAGCTGACGGGAGCCGAGCTCGGGGAAGCCGATAACAACGTGACAGCGGAGCCGCTGGGCAAGATGAGCGGCCAGCATCAGGCTTGGCTGTTGCGAGGACGCTGATGAAGCCTTGCATACAGCATCGAAGGTCGATGCGGACTGAGCCGGAGATGGAATTGCCGGCGGAACAAAATTGCAGGGATCCTCGAGATGCGGATCGATCTCGTCTCTGTCCTTGAAGACATAGCCGGTGAGCGCTAGTTCCGGCAGCACGACAAGGTCGATTGATTCCGAGTCGTTTTTGGGGATGAGCTCGTTAACGAGAGAGAGGACCGTTTCGATGTTCCCGGCGACATCAGCATGTTTGGAGTCGAATTGTATGCAAGCGATCCGCCTGCGCTCTGATCGCTGCGCTGCTGCGGTCGTCGTCATCCCGACACGTCTGAGACCTACGGTTCGACTGACCTCTCGGGTCCGCAATGCCGAACAGATGGATGACGCTTCTTGGGACAAGGAGGGCCAGCGCAGGCAACTGTTCAGCGGAGCCAGCCCTCGTGCTGTCGACGTGATCCGCAGGAGAAGAATGACGTCGGGGCGCTGCCGCTTGCGAGTGGTCACAGAGCGTCTCCTCTGTGGACGACAGGGAGATGCTGCCAAGGCCAAAGAAGCTTCGAAACCACTTCAGGGTCCACTGACACCGTTGCTAGCCCGTCGAAGCGCGGCAAAATCGTACAAACGTCACTCTTCTCGCCCTAACAAAGAAGTTAAATTCTACGAGATCTGACATTTCGCCCTTTTTTATTCGCTGCCAAGCACGAGCCAGTTCAGAGGTCGCGCATTCCCAAGCCTTAATTTTCGCATTCAAGAGGTACGCAGCAGCAGCAGCAACAGAGAATCCATGGGGTGACAGCGCGAAGGAGCAGAACAGCGCGCCTCCAGCGCCAACACCTTGATTCTTTCTTTCGAACAAATCGGTTTCACGCAGCCCAACAGTCAAAAAGGTCGTTGCTGCGCGCACGTATCAAGTCGCATAGCCACATCTACATACTTTGCTTGCAATAGACACACCATCACATCGCAGCGACCACATTCTTCCTCGTACACACCGATCGCGACTGGACGTATACTTGTGCAGGCATCCATACACATTCGCGGAAATGGTCTCATCACAGGAACTCGAGACGGCCATCCGGCAAAAGGTGCAAAACGTATCCACTCTCGTTGTCTCGGACGTCTCCGGTGGCTGCGGACAAGCCTACGATGTGGTCATCGTTTCCGACGCCTTTTCAGGACTTACTACGCTGAAAAGGCATCGAATGGTGAACGAACTTCTCAAGGACGAGATCGCACAACTTCATGCCTTTTCTCAAAAAACATACACCGTCTCCCAGTACGAACAAATGTCTTCCTCCTCCGCCAGCAACGATTCTGCACCTGCTCCTTCTGCAACTAAACCCACCAGCGCAGATCTACAAGCACCTGCACCAATCAACTCCACCGGCAGTCGACCGTCTCACAACCGAACCGCTTCCGGCGTCTCCATCCCGGAACTTACCCTCACCACGGATGACGAAACCCTCTCCGGTCTGTCCGCCAGGAACGCCGGAAAACCTCTCGGACCAGGCGCTCAACCCGGTGGATCAACACAGTTCCCCGGAACAGCCGTACCACCACCTCTCAGTCCAAGCATCTCGAGATTGCACGAGAACCGCATCCGCTCCATCGAGTTCTGGACCGGTCTACGGAGCTATCTGGAAATCCAGTTTTCAGGTCACAACGCCGATGCAGGCGCTGCCAGCCCAGGTCCTTCGGGTAGAAGTCCCGGTGATGCGGAGATCGAGAGAATCTTCGAAGATTTCTTCCTCTCCCAAAAGCACCATCTGACCGCTAGCGATGTGGCCAAGGTCAGAGATGCGACCGGGATGTTCGGTATGGCTGGCGTGTAGGCGAGCGTAGAGAGCTCAGACTTGGTTTTTTTGCAATGCACGCATTCTTTCTCACGTGCTGTCTCAGCCTGTGGTTCTCGACGGCCTTGATATGAAACACGGGCAGCTCGTGCGTCTTCGTCAAAGTGTCCGGAACTGATGTTGCGCCATCCGCGATTACGACCGTGATTATTGATACTGATACAAAAGGAAATCCTGAAACGATGATCTCCTGGAGGACACATTTCCGAACGATCTCTTCTCCTCTCCCTTTCCTCTCCCCGTGCGCGTCGACTCACATGTCGTCGAACCAGCTATAGACCGCGCGCTTGTACTCGTGATGCATGATAGCCCATTTCATGGACCTGTGATCTGCTTTCAAGAATGGATGTTTCGGATGATCCAGCTTGAAGGTTGCCGACGGCGCGATTGGCGCTGCTTTTGGCTTCTCATTTGCTGTGGTGTCGTTCTCCTGTTTGGGTGCGTGAGGTCGTTGACGCGTGATCTTGGGTGCTGTAGCAACGAACAGTGCCAGGTCCGGGTCTGCGAGTGAATCCGCGTGAACAGCGGATTGAGGATCCGCAAGGCAGCCGATACATCCGATGATTTGTGTGAGCGGCGACGGATCTTTCGGCATGGCCGAGGAAGCGGTCGCCTTAGCTGCCGACGTGCTCGTCATCTCGCTGTGTGAATCGTTGCATCGAGGATCCAAAAAGTCGAAACAGGCCAATCGATATTCTTTGACCACCAGTGAATGCTTGGACGCTTTGCAGTGAGGGCAAAGTCCGGTCTTGACGAAATCTGTATTGCTGTTGCTCGTCAGTAGCCTGTACCGATACAGACCACGCATCGCGGCAATCCATTGCAGCACCACCTTCGACACGACGAGTTTGCGTTTCGCTCGCGTCAAGGCAACGTACAGATGATTCAGCTCGTCCTGATGCCAGTAGCTCGCGACCTCGACCCTCTGCGATTTGTCAGCTCCAAATACGGGCCTAAAATCGTCCTCGACGCAAACACAGTCCCACTCGAGACCCTTTGCTTGGTGCACTGTTGTCAGAATCACCGTGGCAGCCTCCTCGGTGTCTGCAAAACGCGTTTCGAGCTGGTCGACCTGCTCGAGAAAGTCGGAACTCGCCAACAGGCCGCCGAGGGCTACGGCCAGACTCAGCTTGCTCTCGCCCGAGCCTTCTGCTTCGACACGCTGCACCAGATCTTTCCAGCTGGCAAAGTCGCGCAGCAGCGAGTTCCGCGACATGGATCTCGAGTCATTGTGATAGAGGATGTGGGCGTCGCGTAGCAGCGTTACGATCGCATCCGGTTGCAGGGCCTGACTCGTTTTGAGAAAGATCTTGTGAGGCTGCGGAAGCGAAGCCGACAAAGCCAGAGCCGTAAGACAGAGCTTTCTGTTGGACCGAAAGATGCGTGTGTGGCGGATCAGCTCGTCGCTTCGGCCGATCCTTCCAACAGAGCCCACTTGCAGGGCCACAGCCTGTCGGCCCTCTCCCATCTGGTCCGGAAGCACGTCGGCTAATGCGGCTGCAACGTCATTCGTCGATGTAACTAGTTGGGTCGGCTGAGCCTCGTCTCCTGCTCCGTTTCGATCGCCGTCTTGCTGCTGAGTCGGGTCTGTGGGCTCTGTTGAAGGCGTCGATGGCTCCAGCTGGCGGCGAAACACGCTGGCATCGGCGAAGACGCGGTCAGCCATGCCCAGCGCGCCGGTGAGGACCGGCTTTGGTGCTGCCCTTTCCCACGGAGCAGGCTTACGAAGACCGAGCATCTCGGTGGCGATGTTGGCCACGGCATCTCCGAAGCGGAAACTCTTGGTAAGCTGAAAGTGGGCAGCCGATGGATAGAGGCGCTCGTCGAAAGCCTTGGCAGTGCCGCCGCGAAACCCGTAAATTTTCTGAAAAACGTCGCCGACGATGAGGATGCCGCAGTGCTTCTTGGCACGGAGCAGGATCGAGACCTGCGCCGCCGACAAGTCCTGAGCTTCGTCGAGCAAGAGCACGTCGAAAGCCTTGAAGAAGTTCTCTGAATGGTGGGGCGCTTGCAGCTGGAGCAGCTTGACGTATGCGTCGTGCGGGCACTTGACCGACTTACCGCTGCGGTCAGGAGAGCCTTGACGGATCGAGTCCCACAGCTCCTGTGCGCATCTCGCAACGGCTCGAATCTTGAGATCGGTGTCGGTGGCGACTTTGTTGGGTACGTGACGATCCGGAATGATGATGGCATCGTCCGAATAGAAGAAGCGCTGGAGGGTGGCGAGCACGTAGGTAGCGACAGCGGTGGGTGTCAGGCGATGATCACGCCCACCCTGTGTCGTCATGGCTTGAGCACGCAACAGCTGACCCTCGGGAAGCGATTCGCCGAGCAGCCGCACCACGTCGCGTGCTCGGAGGTCGCCGATGTCCTGACCAGCCGTGCGCACGACCTGACAGAGCGCGACCGAGTGCATCGTGCGGCATTGGACGTGCTCTGGAAAGCGACGACGCGCTTCCTCGGCGGCAGCCTTGTTGAAGGCGATGTACAGGAATCGCCTATGCGGCCGTCGCTCGGCATATGCGAGCAGCGACCTGGTTTTACCCGTGCCTGCGAATGCTTGTACTTTGACGAGTTCGCCAGGGCGCACGTCTCGTCGCACGAATCGATCCTGTTCGTGTGTGAGCTGAAACGTGAGGTTGGTGCCGGGTGCGGGTGAGATACGATCCGGCTGGAAGAAGTTGGTGACGGCGGTGCGGCAATCGTAGTCCAGGACGCGGACGGATTGAAGCGAGGGCAGATTCTGGGAGAAGGCACGGGACACACGGACAACAGCGAGGTAAAGACGGACGCTGCAGAGAACCTCTGTTGCGACGACGTGATCGACGGCAGCGAAGAGGTGGTCTGCTGCGACACGTCCGACGACAAAGTCGCGACACCACTTGCGAATCACCGGGAAGCATGTGTGCTCGTGCCAGAGCCTCGTGAGACATGGGACCAGGTCGAGTAGGTCGAGGGGAGCAGTCTTGAGCTGCAGTATGCCGATCAGGTCTACGTACGCTTGCACGAAGTCCTGCTCGATCTGTGCTTGGTTCGCCGCTGCTGCGGTGCCGACCTGGACGCCGCTGGTGCTGCCATTGGCGGCAGGCTGTCGGGCTGCGATCGTGGCGTCGCTCTGGTGCACATCTTGTCTCTCTTCGTCAGGATTGCTGTCATGGTCGGACCCGTCGAACAGAGACTCCTCCTCGAGGGCGATGATCTCGTCGTAGAGACGCTGATGATGTAAGAAGGACGCCAAAAGCTTTCGCCAAGGACAGAAGGTTTTCGCGTGGATGAGCGGTCGGATGCGCTTGTCGGCTCGGAGGAGGCTCTGGATGTCGCGGAAGGAGAGTAGATGGAGGACCATGAAGACGACCTCGCGAGGCAGCCATTCGAGCACCGTACGGCGAGTTGGACCACTTAGATCTGCATGCTGGTACGACTTTGTTCTGCGCCATGAGGTTTGCGAGAGTTTGGGCTGGAGACGTGCGGCGACAGTGTCGTCGTTGGAGGAGGCAACCTTCTTCTTGAGGGGCTTGTTTGCGTGAGGCAGTGCGTTGGTTACTTTGGACGTCGAAGCGACAGCTCTAGCTGTGCTGGTCGAAGCTTGAGGCTGCGCGAAAGAAGATGAAGCACGCCGTTTTGCGGGGATGTTCGACGAGACCATGCTTGTGGTCTTTGGCGGATCTGCGACGGTCTGCTTGTGGTCCATGACGTTGTGACGCTGTGCGTGTAGCAAAGGGTTGAGCTGAGTGATCGGCTGCATGATGGCACAGTGGTAGCTAGGCGCATTCACACGAGGGTTTAGGGGTAGCGCTCGAGCCTACGAATGTGAGCGGCAGGCGTTAATGAATGGTCGATGAGCGGACGCCCGAACTGCGAAAGAAGAAAGGCTTACGAGGATGCTGCATATCCGCCGTGTGTGAGCCTACTGGATGTGCTCAGTTGCAGCATATAGCCGACATTCGCATGGCAATTCGGCGATGTCAATCTCGCTGCGGGAGGGTGCTTCGAGTCGGCGGATCTGGTAATCGGGGAGCGCGTGTCGTCCGCTGTCTTCAGCAGCAGCTGTGTTGAGGTGTTCAATTGGTAGAGGAGGGGAGCTGTGATGTGATATCGTGTTGAGAGAGGAGGAGGATGCCGGCTATCAGGGCAGTGACGTTGGCTGAGTAAAATTTTTGGGTTTCTCAACCACGAGAGCCGATGGAGGCACTGATGCGGTTCTGGACTGTGTCTTCTGGCTTGCTTGCCGCTGCAGTCTCTGTCTACTTTGCGGGTTTCTGCAGGCGCAGAATGGACGCTGTGAGGGGCGCAAGAGGTGCAAGCAACGATGCTACGAGGCCATGCATTGCATTGGCCATGAAGATGAGCGATCTGGGTCGATGGCCAAAAACGTGATTATCGAGCCATCGGGCGATGCACCCTTCCTGCCAAGTGTTGGTTGCACAGCGCGGCGCGGTCGATTTCCTCGACGAGAAAAAAGAGCGCGAATCTACTCAACGCGATCCCATCACGCGAGTCAGTCAGTCATTCGGTCATTGCGCCCCGGCTCTCGCTACGGCGGCGTCACGCAGGCTCGGCGTCTCTGCTTGTTGTGCATGACTTGCTGTACTGCTCCGAGACGCTGTACTGCATTCGAGCAATTTGAGGCAAAGACAGAGTGTCAGTGACATGACTTGAAGCGGGCCTCTCTTGCGTCAGCACACCGTGACTTCTGTGTTGGCTCCGCCTCGTTGCTGCTTCCGCCCCGCCTGCGAACGACGAACGCCGCTGCATCGCGAGCTACGTCTGATCGCTCGTCGTCGAGCTCTCCGTCGACTTTGCTCGGAATAGCAGTGCTTCCGTGGCGACCGTTTCTCCGTGGTTGATGCAGGCGGTCCCGATATCATAGCTACCAACCCAGCGTCCAGCAGCTGGTCAAAAAGATCCGAGGACGCACGTGATGTTGGACCCGCGTCGCGTGCGGCTACAATGTGGAGTTTTTTTTGCTGTGGCTTCTTCTTGCTGCACTTCTGTTATTTTGGATGCAAATTTCCGGCGCTGTCTCGGAGGCGGGATTTTCGGTGCCTGTTTTTCTTGGACGAGCTTCTTCCGATTTTCATTTTTGACATTTGTCCGTTCATCTCGACGCCGGCGAATTGTCCATGCAGACGACGAGCCCATGAATGGCGCCTGTGATCATCGCTTGTCAACGTCTCAGAGGCTTGACTGGACAGACGTTGAGCTATGAATGGATATATGCCTCCAATACAAGGACAGAAGGCTGCCAGGGCACGAGAGAAGAAGCTCGAGGGACACGAGAGGATGGGCTGGTCAGGAGCACGAAAAGCATATAGCATTACTTCACACTCACTTCTCGAAGCGGCCGCAACTGCAGCGTGTCACAATGGCGGGCAGAGGCGAATTCACGCGCATGGCCATTGTTGAGAGGACGTAGACGGACCAGCCAGACGCGATACCTAAAGGGACCTTGTTGGTCGTGATGCCTCGCGAGTCGGGCCAACCGTACGCTGACTGTAATTGCTTGTCAAAATGCAACTACTGGAAGAATATCGCTCCCGTGGTGTTTGTATTCTCGCTAGACACAAGAGGCGCAACATCGATGTGGTCGAAATCGAAACGAGCTTGTATTTCGCGACGCGGACGGCAAAAGGATGCTTCAGCACGGGTCTACATTGCCTTGAATGTGTAGCCTCAAGCCGTGCAACGTCACGAACTCGATACGAATCGCGAAGCACCGAGGCTCATGGTTGTGTTTCAAGCTGGGTCACAGCCGTCGCGGTCCAATCGCCGGTCTGAGCTACGTGACGAGCAGTGGCGGCACGCATGTCGTCCTGCTCGCGAACTGAGGATGGAAGCAGCAAGGTCACGGTGAGCGGAAGATTGCAATGACGCACTTAGCAGGATCTGGCAAAGGAGAGCGCCGGTCTAGGATAGACATCCAGCGCTCTGGACGAGCGAAAGCGGAAGCAAATTGATTGTAGAATCGACCAACAAAGCATACAGTATCCGACCGACCTAAATTCGCGGTTCCACAACAGGCTTGCTTGGTGAGCGTGTCTCAGAACTTGCTCCGACCGGCGCCTCCTTTTTACGCTCGACTCGCCTTGGCTTCCTCTCACACATACTCACACACGCTTTCAAGATTCATCCTTCTCCTCCTTCATCATCATCTTCACCTCTCATCTACTCGCCCGCTCCTACTCACCTCACACTCCTCTTCTCACCTTTCCCTCAGATCCTTCGAACGCGCCAAACTTTGACTGAGCGTCGTCGTCGTAAACGTGCGCTCTCTTCTTCGGCATCGCACATAGCAGCATCATACCACGCAGCTTCCCTCGAAAGGCGTAAGCGTCTATCAACAGTACTCGACTCAATCAGCACCAACATCCAACGATAGTGGCTACCGACAGTCTACTACTCGATACCAACTTTCAGTATAAACTACCCTGCACCAACAGCTGATACCTGACGGACAGCATCGGACAAGATATTGCAATCGCGAAGCATACTCTGGACAGCACAAGAAGCCAGCATCTATCTCCCGCTTTCCCTTTTGAAACGCCTTGCAAGGTACGTTCTGAACCGCGACATCGCCCCCGACGGTCTTCTCTCTGTTTCTCGTTCTCTGGCAGTGCACTGCTACCAGTTCGTCTGCCCATGTCTTGGTTGCATCTCTCCCTGAGTCGCCGTGGCCACCCAGTATCTAGCTCAGGTAGACAGCTCTGTGTCTCTCCTTGGCGCTCATCCATGTCCGCTTCCTGGCTGGCTGTAGCGCTGCTTGCCGCGATCATCATCATCGGATGACCCGCCATGGCGTTGGAGCCAAGCATGTTGACCCGGCTTTCGGATCTAACATGGTCACGCCAAGCTCGCCTTCGAGGTTCTGGCGGTTGGAAGTTGAATTTGGAGACTGCCGGCTCGCGTGCTAGGGTTTTCCAATTTCCATTTTCCAACGCAGGGCATCGACGGCTCGATGCTCGCGGCTCAAGCCTCGAAAAACGAGGCTGCGACACGCAGAGTAGTCAGCATCGCGAACACACGAAAGCGCGTTCGAAAAACGCAGTTGCAGCCCAGTCAGAAATTGCCGGGCGCCTCCTCAGGTGTCCGAGCTGCCAATTTCGCATTTCGCCCATTTTGAATTGACCGCGAACGCCAGTCGCCAGTCACGATGGACCGTTTTGAATTGGCAGCTCGTCGTGCCTCAAAATCGAGACTACTGTCTGCTGCCGCGTTGAATTCAAACCCGTGCTCTGCCTGTTTGCTGCCCTTTTTTTCTTCTTACCCTCCCGCTCGGCGTTGCAACGCTCAGACGAGCCAAGTCAAGCTTGGCTCTCCATCTCCACTCGTCCTTCCTCCTTCGCTACTCCTTCCTTCATCCTTTCCCTTGTCCACCTTACATTGTCTCATCTTCACCTTCTTCCTCTCCACGCTCTCTCCTCTCGATCCTCTTTGGCAGCATTGCCATCTGCGCTGGCTCTGGCATCATCTTCATCGTTCGCTGCACATCTCCTTGTCTCGTCTCGGTCGCGTCTCCACGGCATCCTCCACCAGCATCTCGTCCCGGCCTGCTCCTGCATCACGTCGCGCTGTCTCGAAAGCCTCAGCATCATTTCCTTCATGACCTCGAGCTAACCCGCATCGCTACCTCTGCATCACTTCCTCGTCGCCATCGACGCGACGCCTCCCTGTCTTCGCGTTCGTGTCTGACGCGATCGGCAGCTCGTTCAACTTTCTTCGAAGCTGAGCTACGCATAGATACACCATGTCTCAGAACATTGTAAGTGCACTAGTCTTAGTCTCATATCGGCTAAGCTGTCTACGAGTCTTTCTGACCTTCGTCGCGATCCTGCTTTATCGTTCCCACCACAGGCATCCCGTCGCATCCCATTGCGGACACGCAGCACTGCCTCTGCTGGCGGAGCCCAGGCCAAGGAGAATGCTGGCGTCACTGGTGTCCCATCGAGGGGTGCTCGCTACGGCCTCGATGGTGGTGCTGCCGATGCCGGTCCATCAAAGCCAGCCTCCACGGTGACTGCGGCCACAAAGGCGTCGGCTGCTTCGGCTGCCTCTGGCGTTCTCGGAACTCGGAAGCGAGCTGCGCTCGGCGATCTCACAAACGCCAACCGCACCCGATCCACCATGGCCGGCAACGACGACAAGGGCAAAGCTGCTCTCAAGGACGCCATCAAACCTCGTGCCACCACCTCGGCTTCGACATCGTCGCGATCAGCCGTCGCTGCTACCACCACCACCGCCGCCGCCGTCAACGGCACTGGCGCTGCTCGTCGCATCGTTCGTACCCGACCCACCACCACCACCACCACTGCCGGCCCCGATGCTGCTGCAGACCGCCCCTTCCGTGCCTCTAGACGTGTCGCCGGCACCACTACCTCCACCACATCCGGCATCCCATCAGCAACGTCCAGATCGACTTCCACCGCCACCGCCACCACTGGCGCTTCCGCTGTCGCCGCCGCCCGTAAGGGCTCGATGGTTCGCACCAGCTCGGCCAGCTCGCAGACCGGTCTTCGTCGTGATGTTTCCAACACCTCCGTCGCCACCACCGCTTCTGCCGCTCCGACTACCCATGCATCGCGGTCATCAAAGACCCAGCTCAATGAGGTTCGCGATACGGACGATAAGATGGAGGCGCCCCAAGCCAAGCGTCTCAAGACCGAGCAGGCCGACAAGCCTGCCAAGGACGAAGGATGGGAGGACCTTGACGCCGAAGATGCCGAAGACCCGCTCATGGTCGCCGAGTATGTCAACGACATCTTCGAGTATATGAAGGAGCTCGAGATCATCAACATGCCCAACGGAGACTACATGGCCAACCAGAAGGAGATCAACTGGGACGTGCGCGCCATCCTCGTCGATTGGCTCGTCGATGTCCACGCCAAATTCCGCCTGCTTCCCGAGACGCTCTACCTCGCCGTCAACATCATCGACCGCTTCCTGTCTCGACGCACCATCTCGCTCTCCAAGCTTCAGCTCGTCGGCGTCACCGCCATGTTCATCGCCTCCAAGTACGAAGAGGTCATGTGCCCTTCGATCCAGAACTTCTACTACCTTGCCGATGGCGGTTACACCGACGTCGAGATCCTCAAGGCAGAACGCTACGTGCTCAAGGTGCTCGACTTTAGCATGTCGTACGCCAACCCCATGAACTTCCTTCGTCGCATCAGCAAGGCCGACAACTACGACATCCAGACGCGTACGGTCGCCAAGTATTTTATGGAGATCTCGTTGCTCGACTACCGTCTCATGGAGCACCCTCCATCGCTCGTCGCCGCCGCCTCCGTCTGGCTTGCCCGCGAGGTGCTCGAGCGCGGTGAGTGGACGCCCACGCTGGTGCACTACTCTACCTACTCGGAGCAGGAGCTGCTGGGTACCGCCGAGATCATGCTCGACTACTGCCTGCGACCCATCACGCACCAATTCTTCCACAAGAAGTACGCGCACAAGAAGTTCATGCGTGCTTCGACCTACGTGATCGACTGGGCGCACAAGGGTTTCCCCGAAGGCGTGGTGGGTGTCGACGAGGAGCAGGACCTCAACGTGCTCCGCATCGACCTATACGAGCGCAAGGAGATCGAGCGACCCGAGCAGTCGCCCATTTCTTCGTCGCGCGCCAACACGCCTGCCAGCATGCACGGCCAGGCTCACTTTGATGCCGAGCCGAGTCAAAACGTCGACGAGGACGAGACCTACTCGTACGCCCACGACGACGAGGATGAGGGGGTGGACGAAGGAGCAGAAGAGTTGGATGACGATGTGCAGATCCTCGACGATGTCAAGGGCGGTCAACGTCAAGATACCCGACAGGTGCTGGGCGACGTCACCAATGCGTACGAGGCGACCGAGACGTTTTGATTTATAGCGACCCGTTCAGTCGTGCTCCTGGATCTATCTCCCTCACTCACAGCATGAACGCTATCCATTTCTACCGTTTCTTCCTCTTTGCATCTCCTATACATTCGCTCGTTTTTACCGACCTAGTTTCCCCTTTGAATATCGAGTCCGCGCCATTTACATCATGTACCGAAAGTGTTACAGAATCAAGTTTGCACGTATATCAGATGCGAGTGTGCTGTGTGAGATGGGTTTGGGATTGGCAGGTGAGTGGATTAGGTACATGCGTTGGGTGTTTCGATCGGACGAGGGAGGTTGTTGAAGAGCGTGTGTTTGAGCTGGTTGGATAGCAGACCGTGGTTCATCTCGCTAGCCAACTTGGAAGCGTCGTTGCTAGCTCTTGAGAGAGTGGATGTGGCTGCACGTTTCTGCAGTTCCTGTACGAGTTGTTCTGCGTCCTGTCCGGCCGTCGCGCTCGTTGCTGCCTCGTTCTGCTTTCCCTTGCCTCCCTCCTCTGCCTCCTTCCCACCCGTTCCCGCTGCCGACGGGGGCCCAGCGGGGGCAAACGGCACACTGCCACTGCTCGCCCTCGCCACCACCCCTGCCTGACTCTGACCGAGCTTCTCGCCCAACTCCCTCACCTGCCCCGTCATGTACCCGCGCCCACTGACTAGTGGACTCTGACTCAATGTGTTCTGCCAGTACTTGTTCCACAGGAGCTCCAACAGTTTGCCATCGAGACTGCTCTTGAAGTGCTCCACTTCGAGAGGATAGTATTGGCTGGCGTGGACGCCAAAGTCCTCGATCTTGGATTGTGGGATCGACTGGTACTCTCCAGCACCACCGCCTGATTCGGTACTAGCCGTAGGAGGCGGGGTGTAGCCTTCCGGGAAGGTTCGGAAGGCACCGATGTCTACTTTTCCGGAAGAGATGGTGCGGTTGGGATCGATGACAATGGCGACAAAGGGATCTTGAAACTGTTGGTTCGTTCGTTGCGTGTTGACATCGATACCGCTCAACCAACACCCGTACCCGGGATGACTGTGGTACCAGCCTACAACGTTCTCCATCCTTCCGACCTCCTTGGAACCGTCCAGATACTGGACCATGTACTCGTACGCCTCGTTCTGCGCATTCACCCTCGTCTCGGTCCCCTCCACCGGCAAGGCGAACGAATCCATCACGTACAACGTCCGATTCGCAACATCGATCTTCCCCTGCATCAGCCCCATGATCTCGTAGATCCCACCGGAACGTGCGTGCATGACCATCTTGATGAGCGCCACGGCGCTGATGCGCACCTTTTGGAAGAAGTGCGGGTCGCTCTTCCAGGGCTGGGATCGGAGGATGGAGCGTTGCTCTTCCGAGTCGTAGGCGAAGATCGAGTCGAGCGTCGAGGAGGATAGCGTTATGATGGAATTGTTGAGCTCAAAGTTGGCGCGTGCCATGGAGGCTGATGAGGAGGATGGGGCGGCCATGGTGGCGGTGCAAATGCTCCTCCGGAGGAGGCGTCGGGATCTACCGCAAGCAAGTCTCTTTGTGTTTGGTTCGGAGGCCACCTCGATGTGAGTTTGCGGTAGCTGCAGCGAATGATGACTGCTGGATAGGTGATGAGCTGTCGCTTGTATGTTGTTGATGTCGAGATGGAGGTCTAGAAGCACAGCGGGATCGACGGCGATGCGCATTTGATTCGTGGCTCGAGCGATACCGCGCAGTCGCCTCCACTCGCCGACCTAACATTCTGGCCAATTTCCGACGCCTCGTTCACGGCAGACGACGCTTCACATCTTGTCACCGAACGACTCTGAACTTCTGAGCATTCGACATCGGCGCTTTGATCAGTCATGGTAGCAGGTGACACACGTCCACAGAGCGAAGCAAACAACAATGTGGAAAGGGAATGTATGTCGGGCTCTAAAGAATGTGTGCGTGTGCGTGCTACCTCTCCTCGTGCTCCTCCACCCCGACGCTCACCCACTCCCATTCGACCTCGATCGCCACCAACCCCAAGGGCTGCTTCCTGAAATCTATCTCGTGCTTCTCGAATCTGATCTGCGTCTTCGCACCCACCCTCGCCACACCCGCGCCTCCCGCATCCGGATCCTCGAACGATGGGATGAACCAGCACCATCCTGCCGAAGCAATGTCCGGCAACTTGGCGTGTTTCGATCCTGTTCTACCCACGAGTACTTTGACGCAAACTTCGCGGTCCGCATCTACGATTTGGCCGACGGAGATGCCAGAGGTGGTGGTGTTGGGAAGGTAGGAGGTGGATGAGGGTGGGGTGACTTCTTGGTCGGGTTTGGAGGTGGGGGAGGAGCGGGAAGGTGCTTCAGCGGAGGCATCCGAGAGCGGTGCGAGGTGGCTGGCACCGGAGTCTTCCGAGGGCTGAATCGAAGAATAGTAGCCTGAATCCGAGCTGGATGTCGACGACTGTCGTTCCTTGCTCGGCTCTTGCTGTGGCTCGAAAGTGTACTTCCACAATCTGTCCCCTTTCTTCGCCTTCGATTGTCCGGTCATCGGAGTCTCGATCGCTACGCGGGGCTGGCTCTGCGACATCAAGGCAAAGTAGTCCAACTGCGGCTCATCGTCCTTCCAGTCGAATGCCCGTGCTCGATCCGCTTCGGCCTTGACGCAGATCCCCCAGTTGCCGATCTTGCCCTCGTGCTGCTCGCCAAACTTGTTCCCATCCCAGCACTGCAGGTCCGAAGCCTTGCGACGGAGCGTCTTGAGGTACTGCTTTTGCTGCTCCTCTTCAGCGTTGAGGTCCCCGGCGAGGCCCGAAGGGTCGTGCTGTCCGAACGCTCTTGCTCGACGTCGCGCGTGCCTCTCCCACGACTCCAGGCGGTCCACGAGCGAGTCTTCGTACCGAACGAGCTGTACGCTCAGCGCGTCAGAGTGCGGCACAAGACGTTCGAGCCAGCCTTGCGCGCCGGACGAAGAGGTCGCATCGCGACGCTCGACCGAAATTTTCGTGATGCGGATGAGACGTCTCGGCTGTTGGACGGTGGATATCATCGGGAGACGTGCGTCCCGTCCAGAGAGCATCCGTGTCCAGTAGCCCACCCACCTGCGCTGACTTGGGATCGAAACGCCCATCTTGGGCTGCTTGGTACTGCCGTGGTCCTCGGTGTTCTGGTTGACGGCGAGCGAGCTTGCATCGTCGAAATCGTGACTGTGAACGCCGCGAGCGTTACTGTAGTTGTCTACGATCGAAGTGCCCAAGTCAGTGCTCTCTCGAACCTGGCTGTTGGCCAGACTGTCGTCGAAATGCTGCGACATGCTTGTGCTGGCTCTGCTGTGCGTAGCAAAGCGCGAATGGTAGTTCGCACTCAAGTCGTTGCCGCTCGACGACATGTGCAGAGCATCGCAGCTTCGTCCCGCCGGTCCGGCACCCAGCGCACGCAGCGACACGGTGGATACCGCAGCAGAGTTCATCGCTCCGGTAGAATGCGCTGACGGACGAAGACCCGCAGCCTGGGATCGAGACCGCGAACGTCTCGAGCCCTTCTTTGTAGACGGGGGCTTCATACGACGTTCCGTGTGCAGGTCAAAGATGGTCTGGAGTCGCTGAGAGATTTGCTCGACCTCTGCTTCCGGGTTTTGGTCGTCGTTGCGAATGATGCTCTGCTCCGGGGCCAGCGAAGGCCTGCGACGAAGAGAGCCGGCAGCAGCGGGCGCAGTGTATGCCGTGTCGGATGAGCACGGGTCGGCCCATGCTGCTGATCGAGGAATCTGAAGTGTCATGCTGCTTCGTGCCTGAGGCGGTGGCATGAGTGTTGCTGCTTGCGGCTGAGCTGCATTCTGCCCGTCGACTGTCATTTGCCGTCCGTCGGCCGAGGCGATGGTGGGCAGAGGAGGCGGTGAAACAGTCTGCTGTGGCGGACGCTGCATCTTGCTGTAGTTCTTGATGCTGGTCGGCGCAGTGGGGAGGTAGGGCAGGGATACGAGATAGCAGCAAGTCATGGTTCCCGACCTTCCCTTGCCCGCTTTGCAGTGAATGACAGCGGTTGCGTCCGGATCGGATTCAAGGTACTCGGTGATGTCGGCCACAAAGAGAGGGATGAGGCTTAGCGGCGGAACATGGTGGTCCGGGAACGGAAAGCGGGAGACACGTCCGTAGAATTCGTCAGCGTCGTAAGAGTTCTCTATGACGGGACAAAAGTTGTACACGCGATAGAGATCATCGTGGCGCTTGTCGAGGAAGCGACGCACGTCGGAGCGCTTGTTGCGGTAGAGCGATGCAACGCCCGAGGCTGGGAAGCCCATGATGATGAGGTGGTCGGTGACATAGGTGAGGTCCAGATCGAGGTCGAGAGTGGGATCCTTGAAGCGGGCCTTTTGGCCGCTCACGATGCGACGTGCGATGGACGTCATTGTGTTCGATGTTGATGCAAGTAATGGGAATGGTATCTGGTAGCGGTGCGGTGCTGTGGCTGAGAGTCGAAGATCGTTGTATGTGGTGCGAGCCAGGGTATGGGTATGAACGGAGGACGATGCTTGCAAACTCGCTACTTTGACTGCACAGCCCAGGTAGGTTGGAGCTGAGAAGATCTACGAAGATAGAGTGCGTGTGTTCATGACCGTGTCACTGATAACAGAGGCGACGATGCAGAAGCCGTGGAGGTAAGAGTGCGTTGCTGTGACATGCGGTGCAAAGCGAAGGTCGTCGCTGTTACCCAAGGCCAAATGGATGGAGCTGTTAGGCGGAGAGCCTTTATAGAGGGCCGATGGTGGTAGTGAGCATGTGCGTGTGGTGGACCGGTGGGACGAAGGCAATAGGTTGAGGATGAGAATGGGATTGAGGATGAGAAAAAGAGGCAGAGGTTCAAGTCGAGGGCGGAGTGTAAAAAGCACGGCAGAGTATGACAATTGCGGCGGCGCGTCTGGACGGCGTGGGCATCTGCCAAGAACTTTAGGTCGTGCCAAGCGAGGTCAACGCTTCAAAGCCACGCTGAGGCCGCCCCTTGGCTCGTTCGAACCGCAGGCGTGCTGTCGAACTGGCACTCGCACCTGCTTGCGTTCGTCGCTCGGTGGTCTGCGAAGCTCGCGATCAGACCCGAAAGCGGTGACAGTTGCCGACGTTGTGTAGTGAAGCTAGTCGAGGCTCGAGAAGGAAAAGAGCGAGATCGACGGATCTGGGCGGGTGGTTGGGCAAGTATCGTTGGCTGTTGATCGAGGTTTGACTGATCGTCTTGAAACGCACCCAAGTTCACACATTCCAATCAGCTGTGACAATGCCACCGATTCGTCTGACCCGAAGGCAGCTGTCTCTCGGACGCTGATTGCGTTGATATCACACTGAGAATGGGTGGGAGGAGACAGCGTGTCCATCACATTCAAGTGCACACCGGTTACCGGCACAGAATGCACGTCGAAAGTGACCAAAGCCTGCACACAAATGCACCACAACACCACGACCTTGAGGCGATGTTACGCCACTGTGCGACAAAAGTCGACATCAGAGGCTCCCAAGGAGATCTTCCCAAGGACAAGAAACGAGGCTGGGTCAGGCACAAGCCTCTCTTGAGGTTGACGCATCAAAAGGAGATCCTCGTGCCACCTCTAGATCTGCGTCTCAGGAGCGGGCTGAAGCCGACCAGAAACCCACGGCAGGAAGCGTGGCAGTGATTTTAGCCTTGAGAAGACATCTTGGATTGAAGTTGGTGTGACGTATGCGTTGTCCTGCACTATTGCATGGCTTTGCCCTTGGATTTTGGGCCCGGAGCTTGACGCCCGCTAAAATTGACATGCAGCTGCGGCCTAAACACCCTGCGTCATTTTTATCCAAGATTATCGCATCGCATCGTGCTGTGCCATCCCAAGACGACGGCAACACCCGCAGGAATCGACCATCTTAAATGGGCGTCGGCGTCTTTGATCGCCTTTTCGCCGTTTTGGCAATCCGTACAATCGACACCCACTCGCTTTTCGACTACCTCTTTGTAGCAACTGCTTGGAGAAAACAGAATTTCACACACATGTATCGTTGGGCTAGCCAAGAGGAGACTAGAGCGCTCTCAGTCCGTGCGTTGACGTTAGTCTGCCAAAAATAAAAGAGCTAGCACGTCGCCAGGACCGGTGGAAGATCAACGGGGGAGAGATCCGAAGGGTATGCTGCCAAGACGTCCTAGTGTTAGTGTGCATCCCGGATCATATCGAGCCCACCCCAATGAAACCACAACATGCCGGGGACACTTGCGGTCGGAAGTCGCAACGATGCTCTTCATCGACAAGCCCTGCGTGTGGACCGCCAAGCTAAGCTCAAAGACGGCGACGCATGCGCTACCTCAGACCGGCTCGATGGATGAGCAAAGGTGGGGGAGAAGAGAAAAGATAGAGCTCATCTCGCTACCGTGGTTAGGCATGTCTTGGCATCATCAGATCTGATGCTTCTGGCGTCTGCCACGTTGTTGGATGCAGGACTGCGGCGCCAAGCATTCCTCGACTGTCTCTCGCCTCCGTATTCTCGGATCATGTCCACCTCACAACCCCGTACCCTCGGATCTTCCTTTCCCCCCACCTTCAGCATCTGAGACCAACCTCCAACATGCGTTGATGCTGATCTACAACAGCCTTGACTTTGGTCGTCGTTTCCGATGATCAAGGCCCGATTTTGTTTCGATGGGAAGCGAGTGGGAACTCTAACATGGCTGGCAAAAACCCCGCGGTTTTGGTTTTTTTTTGCATGGCTCCTCCGATCCGTGTCGCGCTGCTCGCGTGGCGCGGTGCAGAACTGTCAAGAAGAAGTCGAATGTTTGAAGGTTTCGCATGTCGTATGATTTCACGTTTCATATCATGCGCGTGTGTGTGTGTGTGCGTGGATCTTTGATGTGTTGGTCTCCTTGCTCTTTGCTCCCTTCACACCATCACTCGAATCCTCGCTCTCCCTCTTGCTCTATCCCTGGACGGCCACAATCACGATGGCGTCCACCACCATCCCCGACATCTCACTGCTGTTCGAACAAGCCCGACTGCAGATCCAACTCTTCGTCCTCCAAACCGACCTCTACCTCTTCCAGCTCCTCCCACCTCTTCGTTCCACCACCATCCGTTCCCCGACAAGTCTCATCTTCACCGCACTCATCATCCTCATCATTCAACGGTTCGGCTCGTACTTCAGCGCGTACATCGCCGAACTAGGTGTACCTATCACCATCGCTGCACCTCCTCAAGCTCGGCCGGGGTGGACGGGGGAGGTTCTGACGAAACCGAGCATACGGGATGCTTCGCAGCCGGGAAAGATCGTATGCTACGATCCGGCGACAGGCTATCGAATCGATGAGGTGGATGCGGATACAGCCGAGACCATCGCGGACAAGCTCAGCAAGGCGAGACGCGCGCAGCTCATGTGGAGTCGATCGAGCTTTGCGCTGCGACGAAAAGTTCTTCGCACTATGAAGAACTGGGTGGTGAACGATTCAGAGACTATCGCAAGAGTCGCATCGCGCGACACTGGCAAGACGGCCATCGATGCAGCCTTCGGCGAACTCCTCACCACCCTCTCCAAACTCCAGTGGACCATCGCCAATGGCGAGAAGGTGCTCAGGACGGAAACCCGTCCCAACAACCTTCTATTGATGCACAAGGTCTGCCAGGTCAAACACGAACCCATGGGCGTAGTCGTCGCCTGCGTCAGCTGGAACTATTCGGCGCACAACGTGCTGGGTCCCATCATCAGTTCGCTTTTTGCGGGTAATGCGGTGATCGTCAAAGCGAGCGAAATGGTCGCATGGTCAGCACATTACTTTATCAACAGCGTGAGGGAGTGTTTGAGGCAGAGCGGGGTGGATCCGGAGTTGGTACAGGTGGTGACGTGTTGGCCGGAGACGGCAGAGGTGTTGACGGGAAGTGCGGAGGTGAACCATATTACGTTCATCGGCTCGGAGGAGGTGGGGAGGAAGGTGGCGATGACAGCGACCAAGGAGCTGACGCCCGTGACGTTGGAGTTGGGCGGAAAAGATCCTGCGATCATGCTGAAGGATGCGGATCTAAAGTTCTTCGCAAGTACGTTCATGAGGAGTTGTTTCCAGGGTAGTGGACAGAACTGCATTGGGATCGAGAGGTTTATTGTGGACGAATCGATCGCAGAGAAGTTGGTCGGAATTGTCGAGCCTAGGATTCGTGGGTTGAAGTTGGGCAGTTTCATGGATGATGCTCCCTTCGGTACGTCCTCCAAAGCCAAGGACGGCGAGAGGGTGGACATGGGAGCCATGATCACCGATGCACGCTTCGATCGTCTCGAGCAGCTCATCTCCGACGCCGTTGCTCAAGGCGCCCGTCTACTCGTCGGTGGCAAACGCTACATCCATCCACGCTGGAAGCACGGACACTACTTCACACCCACCCTGCTCACCGACGTCAAACCATCCATGGCCATCGCCCAAGAAGAGCTCTTCGCACCCATCTTCCTCATCCTCCCCTTCGCCACCACCCAACTCGATTCCGCCCTCCACATCGCCAACTCGACGCGCTACGGTCTCGGCTCCTCCGTCTTCGGCAGCAACCTCGACCACTGCACCTACATCGCCGATAGGCTCCACTCCGGTATGGTCAACATCAACGATTTCGGTGTCAGCTACCTCAACCAAGGCCTACCGTTCGGTGGGGTGAAGAAGAGCGGATACGGCAGGTTTGCAGGTCCAGAGGGTCTGCTGAGCTTGACCCAGGCCAAAGCGGTGACTAGGGACAGGGCGTTCAGTTGGATCAGGACAGGCATCCCTCCGAGACTGGATTACCCGATGGAGAGGCCGGCCAAATCGTGGGGCTTCGTCAATGGATTGGTGAGGTTTGCGTACGGAGGGGGAGTGGTGGCGAGGGTGCGAGGTGTGGCCGATCTCATTGTCTATGGCGCGTGAGGTCGAGCAGTCCGCTCGAAATTTGGAATTGCCTCGTCCAGGGTCACTTGTTCTTGTAAAACGCTACAGAATACAGCCGAATCAAGCTGTAGAATCATGCCACGAAGATCCAGTGTGAACACCATAGATTGCATCAATTGATTCGCGCCGCCGCTACGCCTTGGGCGGCCTCTTTTTCACGTCTTCATAGTTGACCGGTTGAATGTACACTTTCGGCTCCACCGCCCCTGCGCCTGCATAGCCTTTGTGCCAGTCGTATCCGACGGCGTACGCCAAGATGCTCGCATCCCTGTTGAATCCGATGGCTGTGATGGGCTGTTTGGCAGGGTTGGTCTTCAACAGCTCTTTTGGCGCGTTGGCGGGGCCCTTTGTCTCCATGGTTTTCAATCTGGTCCTCGATTGCTTGCACCAGAAATTGATGCTTCCGTCCGCACCACCTGTCGCAAACGTTCCGTGGACGTTGAAGGCGATGCAGTTGACAGGGTAGAGGTGCGACTCATTGCGCGGTACTTCTGGGTGGTCGGCGTTGGCACGTCGGTGACACTTGAAGGCGAACTTCTTGACTTTGCCGTCCTTGTCCTGCGGGTCGTGGAAGTATTGTACTCCAACTCGGCCCTCGACTCCGCCGAGAGCGTATCCGTCGCCGTCGGGTAGGACGGCCATGGAGCGAGTCTGGTACTTGAGAGGACTTTGCTGTTCGATGAGGGGTGTGATGGATCCCGTCTCCTCCAATCGGAAGCCAAGCACCATACGCTCGGCCATGGCTACCACCACCACATTCTGCACGTTGTCCATCGCGTAGCACTTTTCGGGCAGCGTCAACGAGTGTACTGCCTGAGGCGATGCCGGATTATCGATCTTCCAGATCTTGAGCTGCTTGTCCCAGCCCGCGGTCAGCAGCACACCACCTGCCACATTGAGCCAGCGAACGCTTCGAATGGTATCGGCGTGCTGCGCTACCACGGTGGGCTGGTTGGTGTTCATGTCAAACATGCGACACACCTTGTCGGCTCCCACGGAGAAGACCTTTGCGCCGTCGGTGCTCCAACACAGATCGAGGATGGGCGCCTCATGCGAGTACTGCTGCCATGGCTGGACGGGTGTAGGCGAAGTCTTATTGATCTGATAGATGCGGACGTTGTTGTCCCAGCTTCCGACAGCGAGGAAATCAGCGGTAGGGGAGAAGGCGAGACAGCTGACTGTGTCTGTAGCGCCGGGTGTCACTTCCTGGTCCTGGTCTCCGCTGGTCTTTGTCGCTGCGGAAGTGTTGATCTGACCCGGTGTCGCTGCAGGACGTGCGCCAAAGGTGCTGGGTGTAGATGCTGACGAGAAGAATGCCATGGTGATGAGAGGTCGCGATACTGCTGTTCTGGATGCCGATCAGATGAACAGTGATTGAACACCACACTCCCGAGTAGTTTCGATGTTGCTCGTCCGGATGTGCGTGTCAGAGGCGAGTGTCTACCGCTACTCGATATCGACTCTCGAGGAGCGCTTGATGCAGTGGCCCGTATACAAGGGCGCAGTCCGTTCCTAAGGTGACTGCTGGAATGCGCGGCCTGCGGAAGTGTCGCGATGACAATCCTGTTCGAAAGAAGACGCGAACGAAGCGGATGTGCTAGGGGGCGGTGTGTTCTCGATGGCGTACGATGTCTCGCTCGACAAGTTTGTCCAAGGCTGCTAGCTGGCCTGCAGAAGCTGCTAGATGTCGGGTGCGATCGTGCTAGTCGATGTGGATGCGATGTGGTGTAGGAGAAGGATGAAGCCAACGTGGATGCTGCGCGGTCAAGCCACGAAGAAATCAAAAATCGATGCACCAAATCCGCGAATTGCTCTTCTGCTGCTGCCACCGCTGCTGAGCCTCTCAGACTGCGCACACACTCTCTTGCTACGCCATCTCTAGACGCGTCACGTGATCATCTTCCGTCCTTGTCTCGACATCCCACTCAGATTCTTGACTACGTCTCTCACAGAGTGCGGACGGCAGTCACAGCGAGGCAAGTTACCAGTTGAGAACATACGATTACGATCATGATCAGAGATGATGAGTTGAGTGAAGAAACTTGATACATCAGACAACGCGAAGCACAAGCAGCAAAGTTCATGCGTACAATTCATTGCTACAGTGTAAAGTCATCTTACACATTCTATCCGAGAACAGCAAAGCGAACGACCCTCTATTCCTTGTCAGTGCCAGTGTAGTGGTTGGCCTGAGCAGCATCGACAGGGTCGAGCACCTCCTCTTCGGCCAACAGACGCTCAGCCTCGAGCGCAGCAATGCATCCGGTTCCGGCACTGGTGATAGCTTGTCTGTACTTCTTGTCGGCAACGTCACCGGCAGCAAAGACACCCTTGACCGAAGTCTGTGCGGTACCCGGTGTGGTGATGATGTAGCCGTCGTTGTCGCAGTCCACCTGTCCCTTGACGAGGGAAGTGGCAGGCAAGTGGCCGATGGCGTAGAAGAGACCGTTGGCGTCCATGTCGCGCTCCTCGTTGGTCTTGCTGTCCTTGACGCGCACCTGCTGCAGCAGCTCGCCGTCACCCTTGGCTTCGGTGGGTACAGTGTTGAAGTGTACCGTCACCTTGGGATGCGCCAACAGACGCTTCGCCATGATCTTGGAGGCACGCAGCTCGTCTCGTCGCACCAGCACGTGCACATGCGAAGCGTACTTGGTGAGGTACATGGCCTCTTCGGCAGCACTGTCACCGCCACCTACGACCACCAGAGGCTTGTTTCGGAAGATGGGTACGGCACCGTCGCAGACGGCACACGCAGAGATACCGCTCTGCCAGTAGGTGTCCTCGCCGGGGAGGTGCATGCGCTTGGCACTGGCGCCCGTGGCGATGATGAGCGTCTCGGTGAGCTCGGGAGCCTGGTCCTCCGCCCACTCGCGCCAAAACTTGAAAGGTCGGGAAGAGAGGTCCACCTTGGCGATGGTCTCGGTGTGGATCTCGGTACCGAATCGCACCGACTGCGCACGGAACTTGTCCATGATCTCGGGACCTCGGATACCCTCGGGGAAGCCTGGGAAGTTTTCGACGTCGGTGGTTGTCGTCAGCTGTCCTCCCGGGGCAAGACCGTTGGCGAGCATACCCTCAAAGAGGACGGGCTCGAGGTTGGCTCGTGCGAGGTAGATGGCCGCCGTGTGACCAGCGGGACCAGAGCCGATGATGACGACCTTGTGGACCTTGGAGCCCGAGGACGAAGATGCGCCGTTCGTTTGTTCGGTCATTGTGTCAGATGAAGAAGATGTAGTGGCGTCGGACGGAGGGTGACGGATCGATACGGCAGAAAGTGCTGCGAGTGGACCTGTGGCTCGGAATGCTCGAGTCGAGGAAGTGGAAGTGTTGCGAGAGTAGGTTGAAAAGCTAGAGCGAGCCTGTTTGATGGCGTGTCTGCTGTTGGTGGCCGTAATCGAGCGGGAGAGGTTGTTGCAAATGAACGAAGCCGAGCGCAACGATGATCGGGCCAAGCTCATATAAGTACTTGGACGAGGAAAGTTGCAAAGAGAGAATGCGAATGGAATGCAGCGATTTGTAGGCGAACGAGTGGTAGTGATAGTTGAGGTGGGGAGACCAAGAAACAGCGAGACGATGTAGAGGCAGAGTCGAAATGGAATGGCGTGCCGTGCGTGGATGTTCCCGGTTGGCCGAAATGGAAGCAAATGGATCTTCTCAGCCTTCGCTGCCTCCCTCTTCTCTTTCCCTCGAGGCGAGGTGAGAATTGCCGGTAACACGAGCCGACAACCGCCACAGATACTCGCCCACGGCAGCAGCGCCACTGTGAGTTCCTGCCGGAGAAAAAGGGTCACACTGACCAAGTGGCGGGCCTTTCAGGCGGAAATTGAGTTTCTGTTTTTTCTTCCTTCGCCACCTCACCCGCCACTTGGCCACAAACGCAGAGCCTATCTCTCACGGGCCTAACTCCGGCTCATACACTGATCGAAACTAACATATCCACAAAAATTGCGACCTGCCCGAAAGCTCGTATTTCCGCACCCGGTCTTGATCGACATCGACGAGCCGAGCGGGATGTGTATTGCGGATCGACACCATCTCAGATCTAGAGGAAGCAGCCACCAAAGATGAGGGTGGCCGTCTCTCGAATGGCCAATGGCAGCAAGCGACATTCAACGGGAAGGGTTCGGACGACGTCCGCGCCCCATCCTCGACGGCAATGACGTCTGGCACTGGACCCTGTCCGTCCATACCGTGTGTCTTGCAGTGCTTCATATATTCTCTCACATGCATATCTCTGCAAAGCGCTGGATGGCATCGTCGACCATCAGGATCACAGATTGACCGCCTTACACAGTCGCGATCGTCGATGGGTATGTTGATGCATTGCTGGACTTCCGTGGTCGACCTGAGGGACCCTTACTTGCCGATCTGCTTGAGCGCCTCCTTGATCGTGTACTCCATCTCCTCCAAGTCGTTGGTAGCAACACGTGTGATCTGGCACTTGAGCGCCTTCTCGATCTGGTCCATGTACGACCAACTCTGCTGGTCGTGCACAAAGTTGATCGAGACACCCTTGCGGCCGAAACGACCCGTTCGTCCGATACGGTGCAGGTAGGTCTCAGCATCCGCCTGACCGGTCTGCGTGAGCGGCATGTCGTAGTTGATCACCAGCGTCACCTGCTGGATGTCGATACCACGCGCAATTACGTTGGTCGAGATGAGCACCTTGCTCTTGCCGTCACGGAACGCGTCGATGGTGCGGTCGCGGTCGGCGGTTTCGAGTCGGCCGTGAAGCGAGTCGACCTTGTGTCCTTCTTGGGTCATCTTTTGTGCGATTCGATCGGCAGTCTCGCGCTTGGCGCAGAAGATGATGCTCTGTCCGATGGTGAGCAGGTTGTACAGCTCGACCAGCACCTCGTATTTGTGGTCCTCGTCCTTGCAGTCCATGTAGAACTGCTTGATGCCTTCCACCGACAGCTCCTCCTGCTTGAGTCGGATCTCGTTGGCTCCCGGTGCGATGCGGACCGCAAAGTCGTACACATTGGTGGGAAAAGTGGCGGAGAAGAGCACCAGCTGACACGTCTTGGGCATGGTATTCTTGACACGGATCGACTGCTCTCCCAACGACTGCTGATCGAGCATGTTGTCGGCCTCGTCGAGCACAAACACCTTGATGGCAGCCGTTTCGATGCCTTTGCTCTTGATCATGTCGAACGTCTTGCCTGGTGTGCCTATGATGAGCTGCGACGTGATCTTTTCGCCACGCTTCACCTCGTCTGGCAAGCAGAGGCACGTGGTGACGTCGGTAAACTTGGACATAGTGCGTGCAACGTCCATGATCTGACGCGCCAGCTCACGCGATGGTGCCAGGGCGATGGCTTGTGGCTTTTTGAGGTCGTAGTCGATCCGTGAGAGCATGGTCAGGATGAAGGCGGCCGTCTTTCCGGTTCCTGATTGTGATTGGCCGATCATGTTCTTGGGTGGATTTTGAAGGAGCAACGGCAACGCCTTTTCTTGAATCTTGGATGGCTTCTGATACTTCATGGCGTAGATGCCCTTGAGCAGGTTCTCGTGCAGGCCGAGCGCCTCGAAGCTCTTGGCCGAATACAAGGGAGAGTTGGGATCCGCCTGCTGATCGGCGAGCGTCACCTGGACCTCGTGAGATGACTCTCGCAAGTTCGACTCGACGGCGTCTTCCTTGGTGGATGCAGATGCGCCCGCGTCCGGTTTCGAGGCAGCACCATCCTTGTTGGACATGAGCCCCGAGATGCCAGATGCAATCTCGTTGACCTTGCTGTCGGCGGCAGCAGGTGCTGCGGATTTGTCTTTGCTGTCACTCATACTGCGTGTCTGTGATGTCCAGCAAGCTGTCCCTGTTGCAAAACTGGTTGAGGGGGACCTTGGCGCAACGAGTCTAGGGAAGCTAGGATGGAAGACTGTGTGGCCCTGCGTGTTCGATGTTGGGGAAGGGCGAAGGTTGTACAACTGCTCGCACACTTTTCTTCGTGTGTTGGTGTGGAGTGAGCTGCCTTCTTCTGCTCGTGCGAAAAGTGCAGAAACGCAGAGGAAGGGCGCAGCGTGATCGACTTTTTTTTCGCCCTCTTGCGCATGACCGACACGAGTTAACATTTATCCACAAAAGCCTGGAAGTGTTGGACTTGACGCGTGTTGGAGCTTGAGCGTCTGCAGCAGCTCAACGCGTTAATCAGCGCGATGGGAATCAATTGTCATTTGTGATTGTGAGAAGTCCATCCCGACTTCATTTCGTTCTTCTCGAGATCAGACCCTTCGACAGGCACAGTCAAGTCAGCATCCTCAAGTGTCCGTGTACTGCCACCTCAACACCATTGACGGTGACGAGGCGTTCAGACTGCAGACCAGTATCAGCTCAGGTGCATTAAGCAGCGCAGCCAAGGTACACCCCAACAGGACGTCACAGAGCTGCCCTAACCGCCAGCAGACGGTCGTGGTGCGAGGAGAACGAACGACCATGGCACCATCATCAGATCCAACATCTTTCTTGACATCATGCATACAGCGTGACAAGAAGCTCGTCACCTACCGTCTGCTTAGCCGCGAACTGCGCATCCACGTCGATGAAGCTAAGAAGGCCCTGGCTGCGTTCTACGAGTCGCACAAGGACAAGTCTAACCTGGACGCAACCTACATCCTCATCGGAAAAGCGGCATTCGCCGAACCCCAATCCGATGCAGCCGCTGCTCCGAAAGCAGACGAGGAGCAGCCGGAAGATGGCAAGCCGATCGGGTCTTCGTCAACGCCCAGCTCCTCGACCGTGCCTGCTCGTAGCTTCCTCGATTCGCGCGTCACGCAACGTCAGACGAGGACCAACGTCACACGCAAAGTGATCCGCCTCGTCTCGGCGGCGCATCTCGATGAGGCACAATCATCGTTCGAGCAAATCACGTCTTGTCATATCTACTCGATATCACCGGGCCGTCTTCGCGACGCTACGCAACTCACGGCGGTTCAGCACGACTTGCATACACAGCAAAAGTACATAGATACATGGCAGCAGACCAATCGCGGTGCCGAGTTGGGTGTCATTGTGAATCCCACCATCAAAGACAATTACGATCCGACTAAGGCGATCCCGAGCTTGGGAGCCCCTAGTGCGCCTGCTCTTCCTGCGTCCAAAGACAACAAGTCGGCAAACAGCAGCATCGCTAGCAAAGTCAAAACGGAACCGGATGCAAAGACCTCATCTACAACAACCGCTACTGCAAAGGCGACACCGGCAGCGCCGCCAGCATCAGCGAGTAGCAAGAAGAGCGGCCTCGACTGGAGTCGAGCCAAGCCTAAGGACTCCGAGCCAAAGCCCGCGCCCGTCAAGAAGGAGGCGCCGAGCTCCGCCAAGCGCTCATCAACGAGAAAAGCCCTGCTTGGGAGCGACGATGAAGACGATGACGACGACAACAGCAGACGCAAACCACTCCTTGTCGACGACGACGAGGATGACGAGGACGACGACAAGCCCGAGAAGCTCGGCTATGCCGACGACGACGATTCGGATGGGGACGTCAAGATGTCGGATCCAGTACCCAGTGCAGCGCCGAGAGGAACGGGCAAACGTGCCGATGCAAGGTCTCAAACCAAAGCGCAAGAAGCTGCGCAACGCAAGAAGCTCGAAGCCATGATGGATGATGATGACGACAACGACAACGACGTGCAGGTCGTCGAGCCCAGCGGTGTCAGCAGCAGCGCCACAAAGACGGGCCAGGGCAAAGACCTGGACCCAGACGTCCCTATGGCCAATTCCACCGTCACCGATACGATGGACGGCACCCAGAATGCGCCCAAACGACGGGTGCGCAAAAAGCGCAAGATTGGCAGCAAGAAGGTGCGCACCAAAGACGAGCGCGGATACACGGTGACAAAGACAGTGGACGAGTACGAGTCGTATTCGTCCGAGGAGTCGGATGCGCCCGTCGTGGTCGGGTCCAAACGTGCGAGTGGTGCGGCCAAGAAGGAGGCAGCGGAAGAGTTGGCCGAGGCGAGGTCGACATCCACCTCTGCTTCAGCAAGTCCTGCCCCAGCTGCTGCCGCTAAGTCTACACCAGCGTCCAACAACTCGGGCGGTCTGCGCAAACCTTCAGGAGGTGCAACCCCGGCGCCTGCCAAAAAGGGACAGCAGAGTCTCAACAGCTTTTTCACTCGGAAACCAAAGTGATGTGAGACACACACATACACACACACACGCACGTACACGCACGCACGCTCCCTTTCCATACAATCAGCTTGGTCGAGGCTCTGTACGACCTCCAATGTTGGTTCGATTGAATGCCAAGACAGAGCAGTAATGCTAGGATTGATGACCGGTTTCCATGTGTGATACGGGCGTCTCTGTCGCTGCGGCTGCTGTTTGTGGCATGACCTGTGATGGTGCATCGCTCGCGGAGGTACCGGCCTTCTCCCACGGCTTCAATGGTCTACTCATAGTAGCTTGTGTCGGAGGTTCTTCGTTGATCTTGAGTGGAATGTCGCGGATGCCCGGGATCTGATCCGTCTTGCCCGTCGTGATGAGCTCAACGATCGCATCGAAAGACGCTGGATACGGCTCCTTGTCCTGTTCCTTTCCGCCTTCAGCCTTGTCCGGTGCCGATGTCGATGCCATCACTGCATCGGAATCGCCCGCCTTTTCGGCGGCCGAATTCGCAGGGTTCGACTTTAGCCACTCGCTATAATCGGCATAGTCGACCTGATTGCCAGTCTTCTGAGACCAGAAGAACACCTTAGCTCGCTTTTTTGTTTCCTCGATCTGCTCTGGTGCTACACCGGACGATTGCATGGGTCCGATGATGGTCTGTATGCCTCCTTGAAACTCTGGATCCGACTCGTCGAACTGCGTCAATGCTGTGTATACGGCTTCGCGGTCGGAGGGAACCGAGGGGAGTGATGATTCGACTTCCATCTTGTCGCGTTGCTGGCTTTGTGCTTCGTCGTGTTTCGGTGTTGGGAGAATGAAGGCAACGGTAGAGAAGGTGGTTCCCAGGGTCAAGAGTGGTGATCCGGTCCGCGGTGGTTGCCAGAGCCGGCGAAGCGCCGAGAGTGCGGAAAGCGGCATTTGGAGTACAGTGTGGAGGCCGATCTTACATCCGACAACATTTTTTTTTTGACAAATTTGAGAAGAAATGCAACGTTTTCGACATTTCGGCTTTCGCCCTCCTCTCGACATCGTCACCTTCATCATCATCATCCTCGTTGCCGTCGTCAGCCAGACTTGGACCATGTCATCGGATCCATCTACAGAGACGGCTGCCGTTCAGATAGCAGCTATGGCTAAGCCTTCGATTGCGGCAGAGGCAGGTTCCAGCTCTTCCGCACCAAAACCAAAGCCTGCCAAGCAGAACAACCCAGGGAATCAGCGTCCACGCCAATCGAATCCTCCTCAGCGCCTGACATCCGAACAGCTGCGGAGAAGGCTGCAATACATCGAGTCCGGGTCCACTGTCATACTCAAGATGCCGTCTGGACGGACAAAGCCAGCCGAGATCATGCCTGGCAAGCAGGTCAGTTTGGGAAAAATTGGCAGCTTCCGCGCGGATGACTTGATCGGTATGCCGTACGGCTTCACCTACGAGATCCAGGCCGAAACTGGGTCAGCGTCACAGAAGGATGGCGACTCAAAGCAGAACGGAAAGGGCGGCGGAAGAGCTTCGGGATCAGCGACGGGAGGAAAGCTGAAGCTGGTAATCAACCGAACGCTGAGCGATCTCGAAACCGAAGCCAGCGAAACCATCGAAACCGCAGCCACCAACGAGCATATCAACGACGACGGTTCCGCCCAGAAGCTCACCTACATCGACATCCAAACACTCAAAGAACAAGGCATCTCCGGCCGCGAGATCATCGAGCAGCAGCTTGCAAGCTCGGAATCCTTCGCCAACCGCACCGTCTACTCGCAAGCCAAATACGTCGCCAGGAAGGAACAGAAGCACCTGAAGCTCTTCACGCCTTTGCAACCGGACTTTGGCAACGTATGCGACTTTTGGTTCGATAAGTCGCCGGAGAAGATTCGGTACATTCGCAAGGATGCGCTGTCGCAGGTGTTGAGCTTCGGCAGTGTTCGACCCGGTGGCAGGTATTTGGTGGTGGACGAGGTGTCTGGGTTGTTGGTGGGAGCTGTGCTGGAGAGGCTGGGTGGGGATGGGACTGTGATCGCGATCAACGATGCGGAATCACCACCGTCGCTGGACATCTTGCCTTACTTCAACTTGCCGACTCAGGTGACGAAACCCGTGCTCAAGATCATCAACTGGGCAGCAACGGAACAAGACTACGCACCGGTCTTTTCGAACCAAGACATCCAGCCTACCTCCTCTTCTTCCACCGCTACTAACGCCACACGATCCGCCAAAGACAAGCAGCGCGATCGAAAACGTCAAGCTACGTTCCGCGAAGTGGACCGCGTGCGATCCGACTTCTTCGCCGGCGACTTTGACGCCGTGCTCATCGCATGCCACTACGATCCCATGAGCATCCTTCGTCGCCTGAAACCGCATCTCGGTGGCTCGGCAAGCGTGGTAGTCCACAGCCCGTACCTGCAACCTCTGGTGGAGGCCCATGCGCAGCTACGAGGAGATGAAGAGTTTATCAACATCAGCGTTACAGAGCCTTGGTTGAGGAAGTATCAAGTGCTGCCAGGGAGGACGCATCCGGAGATGACGACGAGCAGTACCGCCGGGTTCATACTGCACGCGTTGAGAGTGTTTGGGGACAAGCAGGCGCTGGAGATGAGGAAGGAGTACTTGGCGAGCTTGGAGCAGGAGAAGAACAAAGAGGAGGTGGCAGCGAGCGATGCGGAGGCGGGTAAGAGGACGCAGGAAGAAGTGGCGGGAGATGGAGAGGGGCAGCGCGAGGCAAAGCGTGTCAGGACGGAAGATGCGACTGAACCCGAGACTGTTGCCTAGACGTCCTACAACATTGCAATCCCATCCTCTACATAGATCAAGATCGACAAAGCGATATATTGCGAGCTGTGCCCATAGATCGTTGTGAGTATGCACTGTTGGGAAAGGTTGCCATGCGTTAGTTAAGATCAGACACTTAGAAAGGGCTCTTCCAGAAATATTACCACTGTGTTAGTGCGAAAGTGGCTTCAGTCATTATTTGTTTCCCCCATTGGGACCCTTTCTTCTCTCGCAGGTTTGGAGAGCACGACCCACCTTTTCGCGTGTTCTCATCGCATCGTCGTTGTCATCATCATCATCATCAACTTCGTACAGCATCGACTCGCTTTGCCTTGAAGCACTTTGCGAGACTCGCTCAGTATCAGACGCAAGTATCGCTGTACTCGTGCCCCACGTGCGACCGCGGCTGCTCTTCGCCTTCAAAGCACTTAACATCACATCCAGCGTCTCCAACACAGCACCACGTTAAAATGCAGTATCCATACTCAATACAGCCTTCATCATCGTCCTCAACAACGCCACCGTACCCTCCGCTCTCCTCTTCCTCCTCATCTACGCCGCAACTACCACAATCCACCATCGAAGCAACTGCAGTCAATGGTGTGGTTCCTAGCACGTCTTCTTCCGACAGCAATGTGCTCTTCTGCGTAGTCTGTGCGTCGAACCAGAACCGATCCATGGCGGCGCACTCGTTGCTCGCACAATCTGGATTCAACGTCACCTCCGCCGGCACCGGATCCGCAGTCCGTCTTCCGGGACCCAAGATCAACCTTCCCAATATCTATCCCTTCGGAACTGCCTACACGGACATCATCTCAGACCTCAACTCGAAGGATCCTCGGCTGTACTGGGCGAATGGACTGATGACCATGTTGAATCGAAACAAAGACGTCAAACGAGCACCCGAGAGGTGGCAGGAGACCAAGTACGCGGCGGACGTGGTGATCACGTGCGAAGAGAGATGCTTCGACGCCGTATGCGAGGATCTGTTCAACAGAGGCGCAGAGTTGAACAGACCAGTTCACGTCATCAATGTAGAGATCAAGGATAACCACGAGGAAGCAGTAGCAGCGGGTAAGGCGATATTGGACCTGGCCGAGGCGATAAGAGCCGCGAAAGATGTCGACGAAGAGATGGACGGGATCTTGGAAAGACACCAGGCGAAACATCCTCATGCTATTCTGCACACGGTTGCGTATTATTAATGTGGTGAAGATAAGAAACTGACCATGCATTAAGAGAGTATGTGTGTATGTACAAATGAGAGAGTATGTGCGCGGGTGTGGGGTGAGAAGGGTCACGTAACGGATGAGACCTAGAGGCTGTGCAAAACGGGACCGAATGTGAATGTTTGGGATAGGAACTTGAATGCGGCGAAGATCGAAGTGGGCAGCAACGCGAAAGAATGGTCAACGATGCGTACGAAGCGAACACCGGACGGGAGGGAAAGAGATGCGACATGGGGCCGCCGAGTTGTGTCCAGGCGAGCCCTCCCGATGTCGAATCCTGTCCTTCCCTCCGCTACGCGCGCCGATACCGTCGATGCTGGCGTGATGTCTGCTCTTCACAGCAAAACACACTTCTTCTTCCCCCCCGCTGCGCCACCCGCCCTTCTCGCCCACCCCTTCTTCCTACACGCTTCCCTAATCGCCGAATCAAACACGTTCTGCACACCTTCCCTCGTCTTTGCCGAACACTCTACATACTTTACCGCTCCGATCTCGTCCGCCACCTGCTGCCCTTGCTGAGCGGTAACCGGTTTGGTCCCCTGAGCCTGCAACATGGCCAAACTGTTCTTGTCCTTCCTCAAATCCGTTTTTGTCCCCACCAGTAGGATCGGCACTCCTTCGCAGAAATGATTGATCTCTGGGAACCATTTATCCTGGACATTTGCGAGGCTCGTTGGGAAATCCACGGCGAAGCAGATGAGGATGACGTCAGATTCCGGATACGAGAGCGGACGTAGTCGATCGTACTCCTCCTGACCTGCTGTATCCCAAAGCGCAAGCTCGATGGTCTTGCCTTCAAATTGGATGATGGGTACGTAGTTTTCGAACACGGTGGGGACGTATTCTTCGGGGAACTTGTTCTGAGAGTAGACGATGAGAAGGCATGTTTTGCCGCAACCTCCGTCGCCGACGACGACGAGCTTCTTCTTGAGATCGATCACAGGTCGTCCGGGAAGCTGTTGGAGTTGACCCTGGCCGGGAGGCGCATCTGAGAGTGTGGAAGCGCTCTGGTAGGCGTTCATTGTATGAGAGGGCGGTGAAGAGGGCGAGGGTTGCTGTGCGGGTGGATGAGGGTGTGCGTGGCTAGATCAGATTGGAGTGCCTGATGTGGCTGATCGATTTGGGTTCGGCGATGAGACTCCCTAAATGCGAGTTCGAGCGTCAAGGAATGCCCTAGATATGCGAGTCTGTACCGAGGAAGGAGCCGAGATGGACGGAGCTAGAGTGCGCGAGCTAGACGTATGGTACGATAGACACGAGCAGTACGATGCTGACGATGACGATGATGTAGGACTGGCAATATTTCGTGGTCGTCAAGGAGCAACCAGTCGAAAAGTGAAACCAACAATGCATGCTCGTTCTCGTCGGCCCTTCCGAAGCGGGATGAGCTGCAAGTTCTATTCTCTGACATTTCTGACTCTCACGAGGGCAATCCGACTCGACGCTTGGATGTTCCTCTCTCTGTGCAAAACTAGCTTGGCAGGTGTTGCTCTCGGACTCGCAGCCAGCTGACGCGCTGCAGATCCGCCTTTTTCGCGCCTGTGCAGCTGCAGTCGCAAAAGGCCCGTTCACGTGATTTTGGAGCTGCATAGTCTAACACTTCGAGCGAAAAAGTGTTGGTGTGGAGAAGGAAGGCTGCGCTTTCATGCTCCGACCTGCCAATCCCCTCATCACGCTCTCTCTATTCTCTCTCCAACCCACCTGCGGGCTTCACTTCAGCCCGAGATGAAGTGAACGTGACGTCGTTTCTCGAGGCGCCTCTCTCGTAGCGACAGGGCTTTGCATCAGCTACTCTGCGCCGCTACCATGCCAAACAGAACCGCTTTCGACCCATAAAAGGCAGCCGAATCAGTCCCGCTTCTGTCTGGATACTCTCGTCTGATTTTGAACTTCGACCCTCACAGACCCTTCACAATGGAGGCAGTATATAGCAAATGCTCCAAGTCAGCCGTCTATAACGAGCTGCACCGCGGTCTACAGCCCTTCGTCTACTGGCACGTTACCGAATCCATCCAAGAGGGGTACAATCCAGAGTCCATCGGAGAGCTTCAAGAACATGCCGAAGTAGAGGCTCTCGTGCTCGAACGTAGGTCTGTCGCACGCGATTGCGCCCTCGGCTACTTTGTCTCTTTACTCCATCACTACCTCGCACGTCAGACTGACCTGTCCCAGCCCCATATCGATCAAGCTATCGCTGAGCTCAGCGCAGACTTCGAAAAGGAGACCCCCTTGGCTCCTTTTGCCGACTTTCGTCTTGACATTGCAGACATCTACGCTTACGTCGAAGAGCAAAAGCAGAATGCAGGTCTCATCGCCGACGACGGTGACTGGCACCACCGCTCCGGCATCTCATCCAATCTCCAGTGGAACGTCGTCTTCAAGAACGCCCTCGATCTCACCCGCACAGCCTATACAGACGCGTGTCAGCGTTTCGAACATCGCTTCATCGCTGAGGCTCAGGCTGACCTTGCTCTTATCCAGCTTGTCGCCGATGCTGACCTAGCAGGGCTCGCTTTCCAGACTCGTGCCAAGCCTCGTCATGTTCCTGCCCCTCCGACCAGCCTCGCTGACAAGAAGGATCCGCATGCACAGTATTGGTCCAACCGCATCGGCCATACCGTCGATCCTGCTTCCAAAAATCTGCCCGACTTTGATCCAGAACACCTCATCAGTGCCGGAAGGGCTTTTAGGACAGCTTGCATCGACAACATCCGCGCGGACTCGGACGCTGCTGCTCGTGCCTCTCAAGCCGGCAAAGAACTGGACGTCGTCTTGTCCAAGGCAATCAATCTCGACACGAACCCGATACGCCTCCTCGAACACGCACGTGGACGCTGGACTCCACAGCAGACTACGTCCGAACCTCCTGTAGACGAAGAATCAACCATTCGAGCTGCCAAGGAAGTGCTCAACACAGCATTGCGCATCCTTGGCCAACGCGACGGACAACGCAACATTAATCTCCGCACCGACTGTCTCAACCTACGAGGTCACATCAACAAGCGTTTGGCCGCTCTCAGACCGCAGCATCAGGCCAATTATCTTGGCCGCGCCGTTGCTGACTGGTTCACGAGCTCCGAACTCGATTCGAGCCAGAGCGACATTATTGAGCTACTCGCCCAGACCGAGATCGCCATCGAGTCTTTGAACGAGAACATCGCACAGGAGGCAAACAAGAAACCTTCGAGTGCCGACAGCGCTGTTTCCCGAGATGCGTCGGCGTCCGGGGCTATCACTGCCAATGCGACTGCGACGGCTGATCAGCCGGATACCGCACCTGGCTCGGGGGCAGAGAGTGTAACGGTCCGACTTCCTCCATCATCAAAGGTGACTGGCGAAACTGCCGCTGCCAAGAACCCTACGCCAAAGGTAGAAAGCACAAGCAGCCCTGCGAAACCTCGAGAGAAAATCATTCTCGACTCGCCCTTCTTCCGCTCAGACCTCGTCACCGGTCTCATGGTCGACGCTCTCCTAGCCCTACCCTTCCCGCACCGCGCCTTCCGCGAGACGCTGCGCTTCCCTCCAGCCGCCGCCATCGCAGGTGCCAGCCAGGATCACGTCCCCATGCTCGACCGCCTCGCCAAAGCGCACCAGCAGTCCACCAAGGCCTTGACCGCAGAGAATCGGGCGCAGCTCAAGACCGCCATCAAGGCTGTCAGTGCTGTGCTTGCGCTTCCCGATGTGCAGCAGATGACGCGGGAGGATTCGCCGGAAAAGGTGTTGAGGAGGACGAGCTTGCGGTTGGTGCTAGGGACGTTGCATTTGCTGCTGAACGAGTTTGTCAAGGGGCAGACCGAGTTGGAGTTGGTTTCCAATGCGCTACGACCGAACGCGCGTGGCGGTCGGACAGGCGAACAGAAGCAAAGCTCGGATGAAGCTGCGAGCGACGCGCGGGAGCGAACGATTAGCCACATGCAGACGCGCGTTCAGGGTCAGACGCTCTTCCTGCTTGCCAAGACGTGTTGGATGACGAACAAGGTTCAGGAGGCGATCAAGTTTTTCCGCTGGTTTGTCAGGTGGTATTCTGAGCAGCAGGCTGAGCGGGTGGCTGAGCGCAAGGGGCACGATGAGGAGGAAGGAGGGAGGGGAACGAGACAGGAAGGTGGGGAGGCGAGCTCGATCGATGTTGAAGAGCTGGATATGGGATGGTGGGATAAGGTGGTCGTCGTGACCAAGACGTAGACACAAAAGGGAGCGATCACAGCAGCACACGTTTCTTGTACACAAAGTCACTTGAAATTTGCGCAATCAGCTTTTCTGGGGTATCATCCCTCGTCCTCCCTCTCCCTCTTCCTCTTCATCCCATCCTTGATCGGCTTATGCATCGCCGCGGGATGTCTCGCCAGCTGCTGCGGAACGCTGCTCAGCTTGCTCTTCGTCAGCTCCTGCTTGAGGTCCCAGAAGAGATCGCTATCCGCTTGGTCTACGAAGGTGATGGCCGTACCCTGTTTGCCCGCTCTGCCGGTCCTACCGATCCTGTGGATGTACGCTTCGATGTTGTTCGGCATGGCGAAGTTGACGACGAGGCCTACGTTGGGAACGTCGATGCCACGACCTGCTAGGTCGGTAGCTACGAGCACCTGCGTCACACCAGAACGCAGGTTGGACAGTGCTTCTTCTCGCAACTCTTGGGTTTTGCCGGAGTGGAGGGTGGAGATGTGGAAACCTTGACGTGCGAGGAAGGAGGAGAGTTGGTCCGCCGCCTTCTTCTGGTTGACGAACACGATGATTGGTACGAGATGCGAGGATCGCTGGAGGATGGAGATCAAGCGAGATCGACGTGCTTCCTCCGACGGTTGGAACTCCACAATCTGCTCCACCGTAGCTACCGCTTGACCCGCATCTCCAATCGTAATCGTAGCCGGTCTCCTCAGATACACCCTAGCCATCCTCTCTACGCTTGCCGGCATCGTAGCCGAGTACAACATGGTCACCCTATACCTCCCCACCGCCTCCTCCCCCATCTGCTCGGCGACCGTACTGTCCGGTTTCACGTTCGACACGGGCAACGAATCCAAGATGAAGTTCACCTGGGGCTCAAATCCCATATCCACCATCTTATCCGCCTCGTCCATGACCACGTACGTGCACTGACTCAGCACCAGCACGTGCCTCTCTATGCAGTCCTTCAACCGTCCCGGTGTGGCGATCACGATCTCGGCTCCATCCCTCAACGCGTACGCCTGATCGTTCATATCCCTTCCACCGACGATAGACACGCACCCTAGCCCGAGCCTACCGGCAAACTTGTTGGTTTCGGTCTCGATCTGCTGCGCCAGCTCTCGCGTGGGTACGAGGATCAGAGCTTGCGGTCCCAACGCCTTTGTGGATTCGTCGAGCTTGGGAAGTTTCGAGATGTATGCAAGGAGCGGGATGAGGAACGAGGCTGTTTTGCCCGAACCTGTTTCAGCAATTCCGATCAGATCCCTGTTTTGCAGTCCGATGGGGATGGCTTGCCGTTGGATGGGTGATGGATCTTTGTACCCGACTTCTTCGATGGTGCTGAGGATGGAGGCGGGGATGGACGATTCGCGCCACGAGCGTAGAGGTCGAGGGATGTTGCCGCCGCGAGCAGAGATGCCGAAATCTTCGCGGAAAATACGCCAGTCGCGCTCCTTCATCTGTGAGAGTGTCTTTTCGCTCCAGTGCTTGTCGTCGAAACGTTTGTCGAGCGGGTCGTAACGTGGAGCAGGGGTCGAGGTTGGAGCAGCGGAGTGGTTGGTCTCTGATTGGATCTGAACGGCGAGGGACTCGGTGGCGGTGTCGTCTTCTTCGCCCCAGTCAAAGACAAATTTTTTGTCGGTGGGTTTACGCTTGGGCTTCTTCTTGTCTTCCTTGAGCCCGAGGTATCGTCGTCGGATCGAGGCCTGCTCGGTTTCCGTCAGAGGTGCGCTGCTGCTGCCCTCGCCCACGTCTGCGCCATTTGAAGCAGCTATTGAAGCATGTCCATTCGATCCAGATCCGTTGGACGCATGGGAGCTCCTATCTCTGCCATTCGCTCGAATGTCTCTGCGATCGTCTATCCTGGCATCGGCAGCGCTGCCGTAATCTAGATCACCATTGTTCTGGTGGTATCGATCCGAGTCTCTCCCCGCAGGTCGTGCAGACGGCCTCGACGACGAGGCAGAAGACGCGAGGGAGCGGGCTTGCTTCTCAAACTCGAGGCGCTGCTTCTGTCCCAGCGCCTGCTTTTGTGCTCGTTGCTGTTCCTGCTCCTGCTTCTCGCGTTCGGCTTTGGCTGCTCGTTCGGCTTTCGAGAGGAAGCGTGGCTTGAGCGCCGACTCTTGCTTCTGCTTCTCGAGGATCTCTGCCACGGACAACGGCTGCTTGGACATGTTGTCGAATGTCGAGAAGGCTTGCTGGCTGGCGTCGTCGTTCTGCTCGAGAGATTGTGAAGGAGAGCAGGCGAAGGGATGGTGAGGGTCGAGGCTGAGCAGAATTGTGTGGAGAGGGAGAGGCAAAAGCTCCGAATCCCGCGGAACGTTTGCATCCAATTTTGTAGCAGTCGCAACGAGTGTTACATCGATGGGAGATCACCGTGGTGCGAAATTTTGAGATGCGCACCGGTAAATCGGTTGCATTCCGAGGCCGGATTCGCGAGCCTAGAATTGAGAGAGAAAAGTGACAGAGACCCTGAGCGTCTCGGACCAGCGCGAACTGGCGCGCAACGCATGCGCGCCAAGCTGGCAACACGAGCGCAGAGCACCCAAGCGTCGTCCCGAAGTGGAAGAGGCTGTAGCGGCTGAGCCGAGCAAGATGTCCCGAACGTGATTGTGATTGTGGGGAAAGCGTTGATTAGGCGAAAAGAGAGATGGCTAGCTGTCAGCAGCTCTGCTTACCGCCCCGTCACATGTTGTACCGCCTGGACGTGCGCCCACCTTTGACTGGCGCCCCGCATTCGACACGCTTTCACACAACGGCCCACTTGACGACAATCTTACCTTTCGACTTTCATCATCAACCCACCAACCTGACCTCATTCAACATGTCGCAGACCAAACTCACCAAGCCCACCGTGCCCTTCTCCGAAGCACCCTGGATTCAGGGTCTGCCCTCTTCCGTCTTCACATCCCCTTCCTACATCCAGCTTCGCGAATGGTGCCGCAAGTGGTGTGACGAGGTGCTCATCGAGATGGGTGCCAAGTACGAAGCCGCCGGCGTCATCACCGACGACGAAGCCTACAAACGTGCTGCCAAGGATGGTGTACTCTTCGCCTTTGCTACAGGAGTCCATGTCGACCCCAAGATTGCCAAGATTGCACAGAGCGTCGGCGTAGGTTTGCCTGCGGGGATCAAACCGGAGGAATGGAACAATGTTCACGACTATATCATTTGGGATGAGCTCAACCGATGCGCCAGCTCCGTATTGATGGGACTGGTCGGTGGACTGACGTACGGAAGCGGACCAATCATGCATTTTGCCAACGACGAGCAGAAGCAAAAATGGTTGCCCGAGATCTTTTCGGGTCGCAAGAGGGTGTGTCTCGCCATCACCGAGCCTCTTGCTGGTAGCAATGTGGCCAATCTTAGCACCGAAGCGCGGCTAATCGAGGAGAATGGCGAGAAGTTTTATCTGGTCAATGGCAGCAAGAAGTGGATTACCAACGGCATCTACTCGGACTGGTTCACCACCGCCGTGCGAACATCCGGCAAAGCGGGCGATTCCACAGGAATTTCTTTGCTACTCATTCCACGTGGCCCCGGCGTAACCACCAAACAAATGAAGATGCTTCCCGGCGGAGCATCCGGCACCACCATCGTCGAATTCGACGACGTCAAGGTCCCCGTCTCGAACCTCATCGGCAAAGAAGGCGATGGTCTCAAGCTGGTCTTCTTTAACTTCAACCATGAACGCTTGACGATTTCCTTCACCGCTCTGCGCTACGCACGGGTCTGTCTCGAGGACACCATTGCCCACACTCGACGTCGAGAGGTGTTCGGTAAGAAGCTGATCGAACAGCCCGTGGTGCGCTACAAGATCGGACACATGGCTCGAGAAGTGGAGGCACTGCAGGCGTGGGTGGAGAGCGTCGTCTTCCAGCAACTTCATTTGACTATCGCCCAGTCGAATCTGTTGACCGGTGGGACGTGCGCGTTGCTGAAAGCCCACGCGGGTATCGTGTTGGACCACGTGGTGAGGGAAGCGGTTCATCTTCTGGGTGGTATGGGTCTGACCAAGGGTGGAACGGGCGACAGAATCGAGCGTATCTACAGGGAGTCGAAAGGTAAGCTGTCGATCGGTCTTGCTACAAAACGGGGATCGGACGTTTTAAATACTGACCAACGCCTCCTTGACCTTTGCTTTGTTTGATGTTGCGCATCTCCGCAGGTCTGACGGTGCCCGGCGGAAGCGAAGACGTCATGATCGACCTCGGCGTTCGACAGCAGCTCAAACTCGTCGGTCCTCAAAGCAAGTTCTGAGCGTTCGAGAGTCGTTGAAATCAAACAATGCCATGCGTTACGTCCCTACATTATGCAGCCTTTGGGTTCCTCTCGTAACAGAGCCAGTCTGTGATCATCTCGCATCCGATGATTCAACGCTAGTCAATAGTGAGAGACATCTATGCAATGCTGGAATTATGGAACAACAAGGCCTCCTTAGCTCAGCGGTAGAGCACTTCACTAGTAATGAAGAGGTCAGTCGTTCGAGTCGGCTAGGAGGCATTCCTTTTTTGCATATTCGATCTTGCTTGGACGACGATATCGTGTTCGTGTGTGTTCGGACTGCCTACTGGATCCGATCCAGCAGCGAGAGATTACAGGAGCGGCCTGCCTGTCCGATGTGCTGAAAGCGAGTGCCAAAGCTGTGCAAGAAGTTCGCTGAGCTGAACGAATATCCGCGGATCCTTTTACGCGTGTGCACTCGGTAAGATCGGTGTGATCTGCGTGGGCCGTGGGCTCACGGACCCTCATGCATCTTTTCGTGTGTGACGATCTTCGGCGTTGCCTGATTTCATATTTCCGGAACCTGTCAAACGAAGCCTGCCAGCGAGCGAAGGGGACCCTTGTCCGACAGATCGATCCTTCTGGCTGCACAAAGAAGGTGTGGTCGGGGATTGCATCAGCAACGCGACATCATTCCCTTGGCCCGTTTCCGCGGCGCAGAACACGTTGTCCGCCCGTGTTCCTGGATTTTTGTGGTTCTGGTTTGCTTCCTCACCATCATCCTCCCTTACCTTTCAACCGTTCACGCGCTTTCCCTCCTTCACAAAAGATGTCGATTGGAGAAACCACCGAACTTGCGTCTTCCGCGCCAGCGGTCGCACCGAAATGCGCATGGGCAACGCTCCTAACATCCGAACATCTGCTACCGGGCTTGGTGGTGTTCGCACATTCTCTGATCGTGCAACACGCCTCTGCCCATCCACTGGTGATCATGGCTACCTCGAAACTCTCATCTCGCGCACGCTCGATACTGTCGACGATGCTTCCGTCTGGCAAGATCGTGATCCGCGATATCGAGCCGATCTACCCGAGCTCGACAGCCACCGGGTTGGCGTATACACGCTTCAACGAGGTGTGGACGAAGCTTCGCGCGTTCGAGCTCGTAGAATACGACCGGGTTGCGTTGGTGGATTCGGACATGTTGGTGTTGCACAACATGGACGAGCTGTTCGGCGAGCCGAACGTGTTTGATCATGCAAGTGGGGAGGAGTGGATTGGTGCTAGTTGGGCGTGCACTTGCAATCCGAATCGAATCGCTACCTACCCCGCTGAATGGGTCCCCGAGAACTGCGGTTTCACACCTCAAACTCTCCCCACCGCTTCCTCCCTCTCGGACATTCCTCAACCAAACCCGGACGCCTCTTCATCCCCTTCGAAACTCATCAACTCCGGCCTAGTCATCCTCACCCCCTCCACCTCCACCATGTCCTCCATGATCTCTACAATCAATTCCTCCCCTCTAATCCCCACCTACCGTTTCCCAGATCAAGACTTCCTCGCCACCTTCTTCTCCACCCCTACCCATCGTATTCGTTACCTACCGTACATCTACAACGCCCTCAAAACCCTCCCCACCGTCCACCCTGCTATATGGTCCGATTCCGACGCAAAGAACATCCACTACATCCTCGACAAACCTTGGACCTTAGGTAGACCCCAGGAAAAAGACAAGTATGCCAAAATTCACGCGTGGTGGTGGAAGGCTTTCGACAACGTCAGCTCGACAAGAGGTGGGAAAGGGCTGAGGATCGAGGATGAGGATTGGAAGGACTGCGTGGAAAAGTACATGACTTTGGAGTAAAAGAAACACACTGCTCAATCTTATCACACCCACCGCGGTTGCAAAACTGCTTTGCTTTCGTCTTTGCATTTTGGATACAAATGTCATGCTTTTGTGTGTCGAACGCTGAAGAGCGCAATCGCAACTACTCTGCCGAATCCCCGCCTTCCGCACCGGACGCAACGGCAGAAGTTGACGCCGAGGCCGTGGATGCGCCGTTGTTCGACGGCGAGATCCAAGATGGTCTCGCCGGCAGCGAAGGATGTGACAGTCCCGCCAAAGATGCACCCGCCGGCTTACCGCTATCGCCTCCGACCACATTTGCACCCGCTCCGCTGACACCACTTACGCTGGCAGAACGAGAAGACGAGTTGGACGAGATGGAGCTCACGCTGACCGCATCGTCCCTAGCCGCCGCTCCTCTGCTGTTGCTGTGTGCACCACGTTGCGAACTGGCTCGACTGCTGTTCCTCGATCCAGCATAGCTGCTGGGAGCATGCGCATGGACCTGCTGTCCCAGTTGGGTATGATGAGGAGGCTGGCCCACAGAATAAGGGTTCGGGCCGTGGTGCAATTGTTGATGTGGTTGAAGCTGGTGCTGATGTTGGTGCTGATACGGCATGTACGCTTGGTACTGCTGCTGCTGTTGATGACGCGGAGCTGCATTGTTGTTGAAGGTCGAGGTTGACTGCGCCCATGCACTGACGCCGTTCAAGTGATGTTCGTGTGCGACACCCGCTGTCGGCGCGGTGTTCTGAGAACGGTTCCAAACGCTACCCGCACCGGGGGTCACCGTGTTTCGAGCGTTGCTGTCCAGCGCGGGGAACGAATCGCTCCCAGACGCAGCTGGATGCCTGAGGGCGCCACCTTGCGAATAGGTGGGCGTGCTGCTGCCCTGTGGGTAGAATGCGGGTGCTCTTGACCTGAGATTGGGATTGGAATGCGACTGCTGCAGGTGCAAAGCGTGTGCGGGTGCAAAGTAGCCTGGAGCTACATGGCTGGTCAAAGCGAGCGGACTCGACTGTTGGTGGCCTGCGTATGCGAGAGAGGCTTGATTGGAGAGAGGGAGAGCACGGCTGAACTCGAGGCTGTCATCTTCCGCGAGGTCGGTGGCAATCGCCTTGCCCCGGTGAGTGGAAGAGCTTGAGGAAGCCGGCTTCTTGTTGCGAGAGCTGGAGCGTGCGCCTGCCAGAGAAGCTGCTGGGCTGGAAGCTGCTGAGCTTGAGGGCGAAGACTTGTTCTCGGGCGCAACTGGATCGCCGGTGTGATTGGATTGATCAACATTCGGAGTGGATGAGGTGGAGGAGGTGGAATCGCTCGAGGCGACATCACCAAAGATGCGTGCACGAGCAGCCTTGTAGGAAGCTTCCCTTTCCTCGAGGGTCATGTCTTTGCGAGATTTGGCTTTGTCCGAGTCGACTTTGTCATCGTCGAGGGATCGGAGCGGAGATTTGCGGAGTGCGGAAGGATCTCGATGCATGATTTTGAAAAGGGGTTTGGGCGTAGCCGATGCGGACGACGAGGTGGCTGCTGGAGCTGGAGCTGGAGAGGCTGCGGACGAGGTGGAGGGTGATGAGCTGGACGAAGCGGTGTTGGTCTCCGAGGCGGAAGAGGCAGCGATGCCGAGGATAGAAGGGTGTGTGCTGGCAGGGTCGACACCGTCGCGCTGTACCAAGTAGTCACGAGCTCTGTTGGAGAGGAGTGCGGAGGGATGCGAGGAGGTCGAGGTTTTGGAGAGGGTGATGGTGTGGGTGGCACGGTGGAGGTGATGCTCCAGTTGGAACTGGTCTGCGCATCGGTGGACGAGGAGGCGCTGATAGGCGTTCATAGGACCAAGCTCGAGGGTGGAGCGAGCGTCGTCGTTGATGAAGGTGGCCATCTGATTCTCGTACTGAGTGAAAAAGATGCGATCGTCTCGTTTGCGAATGGCTTGCAGGATAGTGTCGTCTATTGGTGCTAATTCGTGAGACGCAGGGGGTGGTGTCGGTGGAGTCGACACTGACTGAAGTGTGGCATCGTTTGGTACAACGGGCATCGACTGCTTTGTCTGACCGGCTCCAGATCGAAGCGCCGAAGCGAAGGAAGGCATCGCGGGCTTGCGGGAAGCGGAGTCATCGCTTGATGTGTGCAACGTGGCTGCGGCGAGGGCACACGAGAGAGCATCGGGCTGCGTCATGGTGGAAGTCAGGATGTTGTTCGAAGCAGAAGTGGCTGCTGCTCAAGGGTTCGATCGTGCTATCGAGCTAGCTGGGCCAGAGCGGAACGGAGAATGTCAGCTCGACGCAAACATGTCTGGCTTTCGGTGGAACGTCGTGTAGGCTTCCAAGAGCGACTTGAGCGCTGAGAATGAAGGAGAAGCAAGCCAGCGCTTGAGCCGATGCGGGCCGTTGGCGACGACGGTGGTGATTGTAAGAAGGAAAGCGGAAATGGAAGCGGAAGCGGTGTGTGTGTGTGTGTGTGTGTGTGTGTGTGACAAAGTGGTTGATGGACGAATGCATTTTGTAAAGTTGCGAGAATTGGATTTTGACAGCTCTCTTTTTCAGATTCTTTTCTTCGCCCCTTCTGTGATGCGACGGCGACATTTTTCGGCAACGGCCACTGACGATGCAATCCAAGCACAGCACAGATGCTGTTCTTACAATCACTTAGTATCTTGAGCCAGGGGTCGTGACCATCAATCAGCAAATCCGACCCTTCGGTCCGCCTAGTCGGCTTGATGGAGGCGTCGAAAGCTGGGCGATCATGTCCAAGGGTTTCCGACATTCTATTCAGACGTGTCAGATCGCACTAGCTAGAGCAAGAATGGCGAGCCAAAAATCGCGGAGGCATCACACGAGCGAGTCTATCGATCTGCTGGTCCCTTTGGCGGAAAAGTGGACAAGAAGAAAAAAGTGGGGTGGAGATGAAATATCAGCCACTGCAGAGCGCAGTGTCGTCACAAAGAGAGAGAGAGAGAGAGAGAGACCTCAAAATTCGGCTAGGCTGCCAGTGTGTCGGTTTCGTGTCCGATGACCAATTCTAGGCGCTGCAAGTCGTCAGAGCCCAAATTTCGCAAACGCAGCTGCTCAGCGATCAAGTTTACTCGAAACCTCGAATCAATCGCTCCCTTCCTCCTTCCGTCTTCACCATCTCTCCCACAACGTGGCTTTTCGTTCCTTCTCTTTCATACCGATATCAGCACTCGAACAATTCCGAGCTCGCAACCTTGCTCGCGCCCCGTCGGTCCAAACAGATCGCACAACGTCGTCTCTGCCTCATTCAAGCGCATACAGTGCAAAACCTTCAAGGCACTTGACTTCGCCGCCGCTGTAGCAACGCTCAAGCTGCTCTGATTCCATCGGCATATCCAACATGGCTCCTCCGATATCTGACGCTGGCCTAGCATCCTCTAGCTCGCTCCGTTCTCCTTCATCGAAACAAACTCTGGCGCAACAGCCAGGCTCAGCCAGCACGGCGGCGTCCGCCTCGGCCTCAACCAGTCAATCACAACCGCCAGCATCTACATCAACCTCACACGCGACAATGTCGTCTTCGTCCGCCCTTCCATCTGCCAGCGCTCCTTCTTTCGTATCACATTCATTGCTAGACGACACGCACTCGCAATTGCAGCCTGAACCGACAACCAACATCATCGTACCGCAAGCGCCGCGGCCATCACTTCTTTCCAACCAAAGAAAGCAAGCGGCAGCAGCGCCGCACGGCTATAGACAATCCTCCTCCTACTCCTCCTCTTCATCACGAAGGACACAACGAATCGACCCATACCTGCAGACATTCCACGAGACAAACCTCGGTGCAGCCTTCCGCCCACCGTCTCCGTCATCAGCACCGCCTCTCACTCTCTCCTACCGCTCTAGACCTCAGCTTTCCCAGCTTTCCAATTGGTCCGCGCTCATCGACGCCCTTCCAAAACGCCCAAGAAGGATCAACTCCCTCGAACCAGCATCTCCCACCGCACAAAGTACACCCGCTCCCTCCTCCATCTCTACTCATCCCTCCTCCCCTCTCACATCCGAACACCCCGACCTCGCCGTCTCTTCGCTCACCGAAGCAACCAGCATTGCTGCTCCCGACTCACTCTCTTCCTCAGCCGTCGGCACCCCTCAGCTCAACCCGCCAAAAGTCAATGTGTGGGGCACTCCCAAGTCATGGGCAGACACCCTCGGTCGCACCGGTCTAAACGCCAAAGGTCCCATCGGCGTCAGCGTCAATGTCGGACAAGACAGCGCTTCCGCTGCCTCAGAAGTGGGCTCACCCTCCGCTGCGCGCTCTCCCAAAGCCTCAAACGGTCGCAAGGCTGGTCGCAAGTCTGCAGTTGCCCCTGCCAAACCGACCGTCATGAGCCTCGAGCGTCTGCTGGCAGATGCGCACACACGCTTCGATGCTCCCATCACCCATCCCCGCGGTCTAGTTAACAAGGGCAACTTTTGCTTCGCCAACGCCATCCTGCAGACGCTCGTCTATTGTGCTCCCTTCTACAACCTTTTCAGCCTCATCGGAAACGAAGTGCCCGCCGACTTTGGAAACGCCACACCTCTCATGGAGGCCGTCATTCAATTCTTGCGCGAGTTCCTCCCTGCCGATGCATCCATGTCGATCGACTTCGCTGACCCATCGGTCGCTGCCGCTTCCGAGCCTTTTGTGCCCGAATTCGTCTACGATGCCATGCGTCTCAACAAGCGATTCGATCAGATGCGACGCGGTCATCAGGAGGATGCGGAAGAGTTCCTCGGCTTCTTCCTCGACACGCTCCACGAAGAGCTCATCTCGGCGCAGCGCCGATCCGCCATCAAGCTGGCCCACTCGGCTGGCGGTCCCAACGGCATCCTTGCCAAGATGTCCGACGAGGAAAAGAAGCTCAACGGCGTATCCGACGACGATCTCAGGCGGCTCGGTGTGCGCGTGGGCAAGGACGCCGCCTCGGGCGATGCCGTCGGTCTCGGTCTAGATGCTGCCTTCGACGACCAAGACATTGTCGAGAGGGAGGTCATGCGTCCCGTCAGCCCCTCTGAAGAAGGCTGGATGGAAGTTGGTCAGAAGGGCAAGACCGCCTACACCCGTACCACCTCCACCTCCGAATCGCCCATCACGCGCATCTTTGGCGGCAAACTTCGCAGCGTGCTCAAGACACCCGGTGCCAAGGACAGCGTCACGCTCGAGCCTTACCAGCCATTGCAGCTCGACATTCAGCCTGCGCACGTTCAGTCGATCGAGGATGCGCTTCTGCATCTCACTGAGCCCGAGATCATTCCGGGAGTGTGGTCGCCTTCGCGCGCCGCAGAGGTCGACGCTACCAAGCAGGTCTTTGTCGAGTCTCTCCCTCCTGTCCTGGTTCTGCATCTCAAAAGATTCATCTACGACGAGATCGGAGGCGTTCAAAAGAGCCAAAAGCCCCTGTCGTACGGGACCAAGCTCGAGATCGCTCCCGAAGTGCTCAGTCCCGCCATGAGACTGCAGCCAAGACCACGCTATCGCCTCTTTGGTATCGTCTACCACCACGGACGATATGCTTCGGGCGGCCACTACACCGTCGACGTATTGCGTCAGGACGGGCATTCTTGGCTTCACATTGACGACACGCTCTTCCACACCGTGCCCACCGAGCACGTTGTGCGCAACGCAGCTTCCGTTAACCGCGATCACGGCCATGATGGTCTGGCCTATCTGCTCTTCTACCGACGCGAGTTGCCGGGCGAGGCAGAGTCGGCATCGGCGCCAGGACAAGCAAAGGAGGCGTCCGCTCCGGCCAAGAACGGTGCACCTGCAGCGAAGGTGAACGGCATTCACGCAGCCGCGCCGAGCCCAGCGGTGGCAAGCAAGTCGGCACAAGCACCAGTATCGGCCACACCGGTCGAGGCATCAGCAAAGAACAAACAGCAGCAGCCACAGCAGCAGAAGACGGTTATCGGATCAAAGACTGCCAAGGGCCAGGCCGATTCGGCAGCTTCGTCGCCTCGTGTAGCTCACGCCTCTCCCAAGGTCCCAGGAGCTGCACCGGCGAGCAAGAAGAAGGTCGTGCCCGGTTGGGATCGCTGAACGTGTTCAAAAACAGCGAGGACTTCTCGCTTGTATCACTTGTACTTTTTCGGCATCATTGCAATTCTTCAGCATCGCATTCTGTTTTCTCATCGTTGGCATTCTTGTGGCTCGTGATAGCAGAAAATTTGACATTACATTCGGACACATAAGACGAAACGAAAGAAAGTGTTCTTGTAGACAACATTCGCAAAGGGGGGGTTTAGGATTCGGCGTCGATCGGGGTTTGGTTTGCGGGAGCGGGGGTGGAACCCATCGGAGCGGAAGTGGTCTGGTCACCGCCGCGACCGTACTTGTCGCCGGGGTAGAGGGCGTTGGCGGTATCGTTGGAGGGTGGGGGTGCGAGATCGAGCGTGACGGTTGAGGGGTTGGCAGGGGGGAGGGTGGCAC